TGTTTGTGTGAATTTTGCACAGAAAGTGAGAGAGAACATATAAGAGGCAGCAGCAAAGATGTATTTTGCACATCAGACTCACAGCTCTGGGCCAGCCTGAAGAGTGTGCTGATGAGAAGACGATTTGCACTCCTGTACACACACATGCACACACAGAGAGAGAGATACCCTTATAATCGGGTTACAGCAGCATCCAGCACTACGCCACAAAAGCAGAGCAGAGTGAGCCTCCAGCACAGATTTGTCTGTCTAATCGAGCACAAACACAAACACAAACACAACAGATAAAACCGTTCTGCAGACTCTTGAGCCACGGTGGAAATATAGAACACTTGCCCAAAATATGCCAAAGCCTTTAGACATGCTAATATTACATTACATACATAACGTATAGCAACAGGATTTACAGCAGCAAACACACATGTATATAACAACACACTTACATTATTGCCTAAAGCAAGCTGTCATGGTTAAAGGTTTACAACTAATGCTTGCAGAAATCTGGAATTTTTAGAGCGTGGCTGGTTTTTTATTTTGTAACAGACGCGAGAGGAAATATGGTAAATCTGGCAACCTACATTCTAACCAGAGAACGTTCTGAAGGGTTTTAATGTAGACTGCTGTATAAAATGCCAGATAATGAGGGCAGGTTTTTAGATCCCAGAGTGCATTGCGATCAGAGTTTGGTGAAAAAAATAAATTATGGTTGACTCAAGAAGAGATAGAGAAAAGTGTTTGCAGGGTGCAAAGACTACTGTGCAATGTATTATAATAATGGCTGAAACTATTACACATGCGCTTCTTGTGATTATGTGTTTCCTTATGTTTGTGTGTGTACACTGTATTCACCAAATGTCCCCATAGGTATAGTAATCCCAGTAAATTCTGACTTTGTGAGAACATTTTTGGTCCTCATGATAAAAACGGTTCATAAATCACACATTGAAGTATTTTAAAACGTAAAAATGCAGATTGTTTCCTGTAAGTGTTGGGTTTAGGAGTAGGGTTGGGGTATGCGGATTGAATATAGAGTTTTTAACATCATTATATCTATGGGAATTCCTCATAAAGATCGCTGTACAAGTGTGTGTGTGTGTTGCACGTATGTTTACCTTCTATTCACTAAATGTCCCCACAAGTATAGCAATACCAGTACATTTTGATCTTGTGGTGACATTTTTTTGGTCTTCATGATTAAAATGGCTCATAAATCACGCATGAAGTATTTTAAAATGTTAAAATGCAGATTGTTTCCTGTAAGTGTTGGGTTTAGGGGTAGGGTTGGGGTAAGGGGATTGAATATAGTTTTAAACATCATTATATCTATTGGTAGTCCCCATAAAGATAGCTGTACAAGTGTGTGTGTGCACCTTGTATTCACTTAATGTCCTCACAAGTATAGCAATACCAGTACATTTTGATCTTGTGGTGACATTTTTGGTCTTCATGATTAAAATGGCTCATAAATCCCACATAAAGTATTTTAAAATGTAAAAATGCAGATTATTTCCTTTGAGGGGTGGGTTTAGGGGTAGGGCTGGGGTAAGGGGGTTGAATATATAGATTTAAACATTATATTTATGGGAAGTCCCCATAAAGAAAGCTGTACGTGTATGTATGTGTGTGTGTGTGTGTGTGTGTGTGTGTGTGTGTGTGTGTGTGTGTGTGTGTGTGTGTGTGTGTGTGTGTGTGTGTGTGTGTGTGTGTGTGTGTGTGTTGCACCTCTAGCATGGCTCTCTTCAGTTCTATCTGTGTGTAGTGTTTAAGTGTGTCTGTTCACCTCCGGGATGTGAGCGAATGCTGAAATAAGCAAATGAATGGAGGCTGAGCTGAGCGTGTGCTGTTTTAATGAGTCTGCAGACTGAGCACTAATGAGCTGACTCTAATAAGGCCATCTAATGAGCTGCCAGGGCAGCAGGTACCGGCGCGTGGCGTGTGTTTTGCGGGACACGTGAGTCTCTGAACCTCCGAGTGTGTGCGGGGAAGAAATTACAACCGATTAATGTTATAGGAACACTTTGTAAGGACTTTCATTAACCATTTAGTAAAGTTATTAACAAACATACTTAACACACAGTCAAGCCGGAAATAATTCATACCACAGGTGAATTCTGACTTAAGTTACTTTTATTCAACCAGAAGGATTTTGTTTGACTGGAAATGACACAGGCTTCACCCAAAAGATAATAGGAGGATGTGCAAGTGGCGTTTATTTACATTTGAACAATAACTTGAAGTCAGAATTTTCCGAGGGTAATGAATAATTTTGAGCTTATAATTGACTGGACTGTATATATATATGAAGAGTTCAGATGCAAAAGTGGCATCTGAAATTTCCATCAATAATGGAAAAATGTTCTCAGACTCCTTTGTTTGTGTCGAGTTATTTCACTTTAAAGACCACGAAAAGGACTTTTTCTTTGCCTAAAAGTGATATTACTAAAACTTACACATTAGAGCCTGATAAACATGCTCATTTCAGAAGAAAATTTCAGATGTCATTTAGAGGTTTTTGCATCTGAACTCTTCATATATATATATATATATATATATATATATATATATATATATATATATATTTATATATATATATATATATATTTATACAACAGTTCTGTCTGGTTCTCGAATCTGATTGGCTGATAGCCGTGATATATTTAAGTAATATCAGCACCCGTACAGCCTCTTTACCCTTTGTGTATTACTCCCCCCACATACAGCCAGCAAAAGCAGACACTACAGATCTAAAGTTTAAAAGATGCTTGCTCAGCTGTTTAACTGTCAGCTTATGATTTGAATCCAAAGCGGTAGAAGGTAGTTCCTCTTACAAAAGGGTTTTTGAGACTCTCCATGTTTGATTTTGTTTTTTATATACACAATTATGTCGTCAAACTGTTATATAAATGTGATATCACACTCGTAGCAGTGCAATATAACTGTATATCGGCACTGGTGGGGGCACTAAGGCACTCAGCCTTAGTGCCCCCACCATATATATATATATATATATATATATATATATATATATATATATATATATATATATATATATATATATATATATATATGCATATATGCCTTAGTGTGTGTGTGTGTATATATTTATATATGTTTTTTATTAATATGCATTACATTGATCAAAATTAAATACAACTACATGTACAATAATACCATTATGTATAAAAGTTTCTACCAAATTTTTTTTGAACAATAATAATATAAGAATAAAAAAATAAAAAATAAAATAAAAAATTAATAATAATAATAATAATAATAATGTCAATAAAATTGTCATATTGGAATTATTTCTGAAGGATCATGTGACATTAAAGAGTGGAATAGGGATTTCATCACTTTCCTTTTTTTGCTGTTTTTTGATCAGAAAGAAGCAGCTTTAGTGAGCAGAAGAGACTTAGAAAATAAATAATAAATATAGAAAGTCAATATATAAATTTATTTAAATAATTACGCTAACATTAAACAACACGTACGTTTACATGGACACCATTAATCAAATTTTAATATGATTAAGGCAATATTCTGATTAAGAGTTGACCATGTAAACAGCGATTTTTGATTAATCTGATTAAGGTCATAATCGAACTAAAGAGAAATGGAATTAAGACATGTGGAGTATTCCTATGTTAGTGGAATTATTGAAGTGCAGTACAGACATGTAAACACCGCAATCAAACTATTACCGTTGTTTATTTTGAGAAAGGATAGTCTATACACACACACACGGTTGTTTGACATTATTTCAGACATCCCAAGTTGAGAATAGTCATACCCGGGCGAGAGTGTCGCAATTTGCAGGAGGTTGCGGGAGCTCTGGTTTGTAAAATGTATGTGAAGAGTGGAGGGACGTAGTATGAGAAGGGGGCAGGGTGGGTTGAGAGAGTGTGTGCGACATGTCTGAAGAGCGAGGATGGATCCGATGCTGAGGGTTGAGAAGGGTGTGTGACTTATTTGAAGACCTATAGGGAGACGTGCGATTTCCAAGAGATTGTCACTCGTTTGCGGGCATCCAGGAGTCTCTATGCATTTACGGGAGACTCTCGGAGGTTCCAGGAAAATTGGGATGTCTGATATTCTCTGCACCTACCGAGTCAGTAAAGGACCACAGACACCTGCATTGCAAAATGCGGAGGTTTTTCCTCAATCAGCGTACAGTATCAAATTCCATTAAAACAACACTCTTCCGACATCTAGTTTGTCACAGGGGCATGCATGAAATGTTCCTGAATGAAAGTGAAAGTGCCAAACTACAGTTAAAGTTGACAAATAAAAAATGAAACACCCAAAATTACATGAAACTTCGGAGGAAATGTGGATAGTGTGGTGACGCAATGACATTAATCGAGTTATGTGCTAAACTATGAGTTATAATATTTATGTTGGCTTATATAACTGGCTTATAAAGATTAAAGCATAATTTGATTATTGACATAGTCAATGATCATTATTATTATTATTATTATTATTATTATTATTATTATTATTAACAATATAACATTGCTCTAAAGTATTAACAGATCAAGACAAGAATGCCTTTACTTTTATGACATGGATCGCTGGAGAACTAAAAATCTGCCACTTTAATAAACTACAAATCCCACCATGCTCTTCACTCAAACGCCTGAAGCTGTTCAGGACAAATCAGATGGATTATAAACACAGCACACACACACATTGTTGCTGAGTCCTGTTAAACTGTGAGCATTAGGAAGCTTTTTTGCCTTGTCGTGTTTTTACCCATGCTTTGTTTTACTGTTTATCTGGTTTTGCCGCCATTTCTGACTGTTCGCTTGTATTCTGACAACACTTTTGGATTATCTGCATGCTCCTGTCTGTCCCTGTTTGACCTTTGCCTGTTTCACTTAACAAACAGCATTTGGATCCTTACCTCTGTTGCAACCTGACTCGTTACAATCTGAATGAGAGATTTGGATATTAAATAAATACATTTTATTCAATAACAAACATCAACACTTTTCAGATTTCTCTCTTTTAACATATTTTATTTGTGCACAAAGCAACACTGCAACCCCTAATTAGTGACATTTTCCCAATATAAAGTAAAACATAAGGAAAGGACCTAGCTTCAATATCTTGTCAATTTAATTGTTTTAAAAAGTAACAATCTGAATTAAAATCCTTAATTTTTATGGTTGCGGTCCAGATAAATCTGAGCTTCAGGGTTGTGTCTGACCTCACCCTGATCTAATGGCGTAGTGCTCATCTTCCTGAACTCTTCCTCAAGGCAGGCCAGTGCCAGGAGATCCTCCTCATCCTCATCAGAGTCCTGGAGATGGAGCTTCTCCACAGTCTGGACCTCTAGAATCTCCTGAGCCGCACGAGACAGGGGCCGGCCTGAGGAGTACGGACGACAGGTCTCAATCCTTGGGTCACCCAAAGAGAGGGAAGAACCTCTGCTCATAGGGCCTAAACAAGAATAAAGGGTGATTTAGAATACAAGAGCACAACAAAGTGGCTTACTTTAGAGCAGTGTTTCCCAACCCTGTTCCTGAAGGCAGACCAACAGTACACATTTTCAACCTCTTCCTAATCAAACACACCTTAGACAAGACTCTAAAACCTCAAATGAAAGGTTTAAATAAGGAAGACAACCAGAATATGTACTGTTGGTGTGTCACTAGGAACATGGTTGGGAATACTGCTTTAGAGCATAACAGGTTGCTGTTCAAAGCTGAGTTCACACTACACGGGCAGATATTGTTGTGCTGTTCAGACTACGTAATTTGATAACTTAAAGTTGCGTAAAATGTGGCATTTGAAAAACAATAGACGCAAGCATAACAGTTAAGCACATCCATCAAGTGCATTTACATACAAAAACAACAGAAAAGTGGCAGATTCATTGAAAAACACGTTCTGTGTGAATGGCCCCTAGGAATGTATACCCCACAATATCTCCCAAATAAAACGGGTTGGGGCAGATATAGGTAAAAATCAGGCTGCCTCGTGGACTTTTCTTTTTCTAGATTGCTTTTTGAAAACACTATTGGTTGGGTTTAAGAAAGTGGGTGGGTGCTGGTCAATCAGTGGTTTTGAAAACCCTATCGGTTGGGTTTAGGGAAGAAGGAGGGTTAGTCAGTTGATCAGTCAGTCAGTCAGTCAGTCGGCATCGGTCTCTGGTGGATTTAAGTAAGAAGAGCAGGCACCAATGTTACTCGTAAAATAAATTTGAGATCTCAAAAAGTGTACACAGTGGCCTCTGGTAGATTCGCGAAAACAGAAACTGCAAAAAAAAAAAAAAAAAAAAAAAAACGTACCTCCTCGAACAAATTTGACGCTCTCCAAAACTGTATACAGGGGTAGTTTTCAGAATGAACATGGGATGACATATGGGATCTTGAATTTTGAGAATTAACTGCTAAACACCATCATGGTAACACATGAACCTAAAGTACTGTAATAAACATTATTTAGCCTGGTTTTGTTGTGTTAGCTGTGTGATGTTGTTGTACAGATCTAATATACTGAGCCACATGCAATTTACACTGCTGTATACATTCACATGCGTAACCAACATTAACCCTCAGGGGTCTGAGGTGATTTTCGGGCCCCTAAGATGTTTACAGGGCAGCTAATAATTCAGGAGAGCTAATAATTCTGACTTTAACAGTATATTATGAAATATAATACAATATGACCCCTTAAGGTTTAATAATCTCAAAACCCAGTATGAGCAAAAATTATAGCAAGGGTGGCCTCACAAATACAAATAATAACTGCGGCTAGTGAGAAGCAGAAGATGATAGGAGAGAGATGTTAAAGCGACTGACAGACAGTAAAGCCCACACTGGGATAGGGAGCTTAAGTTAGCAGGGTCAGTATTATTTACTGTCACACACTGGCCTAATCAGCTTCAATCAAACAAAGCTTTAAATGCTCACTGATCCAGCATATCACAATAATACACTAACACACTTCTCTCTCTCCAATGCGTCTGTCTTCATTATATTCCCTAGCTTCCTCTTGTCTCGTGTGATCTTTCACTTGCTGAACTTCAGATGTGCGGTTGCATGTTCATGGAGCAGAGCTCAGCTAGCATTACAGTAATCTTGAGGGAACTGAATCATCGTTTTGAAGCTCTTTAATCAGTTTACCAAAGACTCATTTAGATTTGTTTAGGTTATATAATTACACCTGAATCAATTAGTGAGTCCCGGTTTGTTTATTTTTTAAGTTGATTAAGATATGAAGTTGTAAGTTAAAGAAAGCAGTGAAGGTCTAACAAATGACCTAATGCAATAACATTAGAGCAATACCCGAAAACACACTTCATTTCTTAAATAATCATCATGCACGTATTTCGACAGCGGCGTAGATTAGATAGTGAGGGAATAATGGGTCAAGCCATTTTTAGCAGGTCTGGGTAAGCGTTCTCTTTTACACAGTAAATCTTGCAACATGGGGTCATTGTGAAAATGTACCCCGTATACATTTCTGGAGAGACCAAATTATGTAGCCAGAGCTATGTATGGCCACATTTCATCTTTAAACGAATGCTACGTGGCGGTGTGACGGCTTGCGTTTCACGCTACCGGCTGACCACTTACCTCTGTATGAACAGCTTTTCCACTGTCAAGCTTGCCACGTACATTTGTGGACTTGATATGCATAGCGGAGTCGACAACGATGACAGAGTTTGAGTCCGGTAAAGGACGGTTCCAGAAAGCCGGTAATAATAAAACAGAGTAAAAAATAAAGCCAAAAAATAAAACAAACAAGTAAATAACAGGGTGAGAATGTGGTAAAATCTGAAACCGTGGTAAAAATCAAGCTGGCGCGAGGGCTTTTTTTTTTTCCTGGATAGCTTTTGAAAACACTGTCGGTTGGATTTAGGGAAGGAGGTGGGTGGGGGTATCGGTCGGTTGGTCAGTGAGTCTGTCAGTCAGCTGCCTCTAGTGGATTGACGCCAGAACAGCAGGCCCAAATGGCACTCACAAGAGAAATTTAAGATGTCATCTATGGAGTCAAACTAGGGCCAAATACACTTGCAACATAAAAGAATGTTTTGCAAACAAAAAATAAAGTATTGAGCTAAAAATTGTAAAATAATGCAAATCTCAAAAAATCGCAAAGGGAAAATTGAGTTTTGAGAAATAACAAGGAATTTTGCAAACAAAAATAAAGAACTAAAAATAAAAATCGAGCAGTGCAAAAAAAAAAAAAAAAAAAAAAATATATATATATATATATATATATATATATATATATATATATGCAATAAAATATATATTATATATATATATATATATATATATATATGCAATAAAAAAAAAAAATATATATATATATATATATACATATACATATATATATATATATATATATATATATATATATATATATATATATATATATATATATATATATATTTATTTATTTATTTATTTTTTTTTTTTCAAATGTTTTTTCCAGTATTGCCTTTGCAAAACCTCTCAAGTAAATTGCAACGCTCATTTTGATTTGCTTTCCAGTCAACCACAAGTTAGAGATGCTGTTTTCTTTCTTTCTTTTCTGTTCGGGCAAAGATCTTCAGCTTTAATCTGTTACACCCCTAATAGTTGCATTGCATAATTAGCAATTGTTTTGTGTTTTTGGCCTCTGCTTGTTAAATTACTCAATGCATCCTCAACTGTATATCGCTTTGCACAAAAGCATCTGCTATATGACTAAATGTAAATGTGCCCCCTTCAAAAACAGAACTTTTGACTATTAAAACGTTCAGGTGACATATCGAAACAGAAGTGTTCATGTATCGCTTCCCACGATTGAGATGCCAACAAGCTTTAAGTATGCCTTGATGCAAAGGCTCAATCTAGCGTATCTAACCTGACAAAAGTATACGAGATACAGGGAGAAAAGCAGACTGGAGAGAGCATGGACGGATATCTGACGCTTTGATTTGCACCAGCCGAAATCACAGCTGTCATGCTGTTAAACAGATTATTTTTCCCTCCTCTGCAGACCTGCGAGTGATGAGCCGAGAGACAGAGAGGAAGACGTTTCGAGAGGTAGAGAAAGCGCCACTGATAAACCGAGCTGAGCTGATCTGAGCTGAGCTGAGAGATTGGCCGCATTCCCTGCACTCCCGCACGCAGAAACACACAGTAATCTCTTTATGAAACCTCAGCCGCGTGTGCTGGCGCAGAAAGCTCAGGAATCAGCTCGGCTTTAATTACGGACGCGAGCCAATAAATCACGCTACGGCCCGAGTCTTAGCGCCACTCTTCTACAGCCATGTTATTGATGTCCCTTTGGCCGAAACGCTGTGTCCGGCGGGTTGGCGGAGGCTCTCGGTAAATGATCATTTAGTCACAGATGAGATGTGACATCAGACAGGCTCCACATTTTAAACACAGATTTAGCCGTATAAGTCGGGATTAAGTCTGAACACAGATGGGAAAGTAAAAAGAGCTGAGGGCCTAGATGTGGGGAAACAGACCGAAGGATAGGAAGAATATAAATGATACCTTACAGAGAGAGTTATCTGAAAAAAACAAAACAAATAAAAAATACATTCGCATGTTGTTTCACACCAGTATGAGTACCAGTGTAACGGAGGCCAGCTAGTAAGTGCTGTGCAGGTAAACCTCACTCCTCTGACCTCTAAAGGTGCTCTAGCGACAGACGCTAGAGGCCATGGTTATTAGCCTCCTTCTTAGAGCAACCGACTCCCATGTGAAAGGTCGCTGGCTTGATACCAGCTCGGAGCGGGTTGGGTGGCCTAGGAACGGCGGGGTGCCGTGACCCGGATATGAGTGAGGTTTATGGGTGTGAGTGCTGTCCAGGTAAACCTCATTCCTCTGACCTCTAAAGGTGCTCCAGCGACAGACGCTAGAGGCCATGGTTTTTAGCCTCCTTGTTAGAGCAACCGACTCCCATGCGGAAGGTTGCCAGATCGATACCAGCTCGGCGCAGGTTGGGTGGCCTAGGACCGGCAGGGTTACACCAGTTTCTTTAAAATGTAAACTGATAGACAGTTTTTAATTTAAAAAAACATAAAAAGCACAATAAATATTGTATGTGCCTTATATTATTGTAATAAGAAGAAATTCATTGAAAATTATGCATTAAAATCTAAACAAAAATTGATTTGGGGTCTATTTTGGACATTTATATTAATGCTGTCAAAAGATTCATCATGGTTAAAAATAATCCAAAATAAGTAGTGATAGTAGTAGTAATAATTTTCGTAGTAGTAGTTGTTGTTGTAGTAGTAGCAGCTGCAGTAGTTGCTTTAACAGTAGCAGTAGCAGTTGGTGTAGTAGTAGTAGTAGTTGGGGTTGTTGGTGTTATTATTATTATTGTTATTATTAATATTATTATTGTTGTTTTCTTTTTTTACTGTCATTATAATGTTATTATTGGTGTTGTCATTTTTACTGCCATTATTACAATTATATACATTACTATCATTGTTGTCATTCCATACCACTGGTTGGTATTTGTAGCAGGGGATGTGACACTGACAACAGGGATGAGGATCCAAATCCAGGGTTTTATTGGCAGGATGGTCAGGCAAGCAATGATCAACACAGGATCAAACAGATGTATGAGGGCATGGTCAGATGGCAGCATACAGGAATGATCAAACAAAACAAAGCAAAGGTTCAAAACACGGAATGTTGTAATGTCACTATGACAGATAACAAGACTCAGCAACAGTGTTTGTGTTTGAGCGGTACTTATAGTCCATGAATCAGTCCTTGAGCAGCTTCAGCTGTGCGAGTGTAATCAGTCAGGATCTAAAACATGTGTGTGAACGGAGTGCATGTATGAAGTTGTAGTCCATGAACTGGGGGATTTGTAGTTTGTGCTAGTGTGAATGTTTTTCACCAGCGAACTTTGGTTATAGATCGCTGGAGATCGTGATAGTATTATTTCTATCTATATTATTCACTTCAGTTTTAAATTTTTATATTACTTTGATATTTAATATTATGCTTTTTACTGTAATGCATGTTGTATATATATAGTTTTCCTATTTATGTACTTTGTCTTGTACATTGTACACCCAATACCTTTACATGCGCACACACACAAACACCTGCCAGTATCTCTGTTCTTTGTTTTTCCCTCTCTATATGTATGTTTCAAAATATTGTGTGAAATAAAAAAATTTATATATATAAGAAAGTCTTACAAAAATATATATAAATATAGATAGATAGATAGATAGATAGATAGATAGATAGATAGATAGATAGATAGATAGATAGATAGATAGATAGATAGATAGATAGATAGATAGATAGATAGATAGATAGATAGATAGATAGATAGACACTAGTATTCAGCCTAAAGTGGCATTAAAAGGCTTAACTAGGTTAATTAGGTTAACTAGGCAGGATATGGTAATTAGGCAAGTTAATGTATAATGATGGTTTGTTCTGTAGACAATCGAAAAAATATAGCTTAAAGGGGCTAATAATTTGAGAGGGTGCTCGCTGCAGAGCCATCTGAGGAGAGGTGAGCTCCAGAGAGGGGGAGCATGAGCTGTCGCTCCTCCTCCTGTAAGCTGTTTTAATGCGTACACCAACCCCACCCCTAACCCTACCCCCAGTGACATCACTCGTAGAAGAAGTGCAAAAAAGGTGGAGCTCAAGCTTAAGCTCCCCCTCTCTGGAGCTCACCTCTCCTCAAATGGCTCTGCAGCGAGCACCACTTAAATAATTTTGACCTTAAAATGGCTTTAAAAAAAATTAAAAACTGATTTTATTCTAATAAAACCAAAAATAAAACAAATAATACTTTCTCTAGAAGAAAAAATATTATCACACATGCTGGGAAAAACCAAGAAGGTTGAAGGGTCGCTGGTTCGAACCTCGAGTCAGTAGGTGTTTCTGTGTGGAGTTTGCATGTTCTCTCTGCCTTCGCGTGGGTTTCCTCCGGGTGCTCCGGTTTCCCCCACAGTTCAAAGACATGCGGTACAGGTGAATTGGGTAGGCTAAATTGTCCGTTGTGTGTGTGTGAATGTGTGTGTGTGGATGTTTCCCAGAGATGGGTTATGGCTGGAAGGGCATCCGCTGCTTAAAAAACTTGCTGGATAAGTTGGTGGTTCATTCCGCTGTGGCGACCCCAGATTAATAAAGGGACTAAGCTGACAAGAAAATGAATGAATGAATGAATGCTGTGAATAACTCCTTGCTCTGTTAAACATAATTTGGGAAACATTTAAAAAAGAAAGAAAAATTAAAGGGGGGATAATAATTCTTCAACTTCAACTGTATATATATATATATATATATATATATATATATATATATATATATATATATATATATATATATATATATAAATGCTGTATTTTAGAGAATTAAGTATAATATAAACAATAATAATAATAATAATAATAATAATAATAATAATAACAATACTTAATAAACACAGATGTGACCTAAGCATAAAATCAGTATTATACAATGATTTCTGAAGTAATGACCCTGAAACTTCAGCTTAGTATCACAGAAATAAATAACATTTTCAAATGCATTAAATTGGAAAACAGTTATTTGAAACCATAATAATACTTAATACAACTGTTTGTACTGTGACACCAAAATTGAATATGTGCTATGCCATGTATGGTTTTCAGAGATTCCTTCATCAGTCTGTTTCTCTTTTTATGCCATCTTATTGATAGATAGTCTGACAGGAGGCAAGAAAATGGGAAACAAGGCAAGACATAAAATGGCAACCGCTAGGCTACGTCTCTTCCATAAAAGATGTATTTTTAATGTTTTGTCTTCTGAAAGATTGATACACCAGTGCAACATATCGAAAGTTATTTTCTTCAAAGCCTTCTTTTCATTCACATCAAATTAACTCTAGTGTGTTTAGCCTCCTTGTGATTCACATCAAATCAAACTTGGTGTCTATTGTGGTACAGAAAAATGATGAAGGCATGTTACCTGTTAAATGAAGTCTTTGTGATGACATTCTGCCATGGTTTGGTGTGAATGGACGAGGAGTGCTGCTGATAGGTTGACTGTTCAGAACTGCAGTGACTAGTGATTCCTCTACATGATGCTGAAAACTGGATCTCCAGAACTCCTGTCCTACAAGTACATGATACAAGAAAACATTGAGATTTACAAACAAGAGGAGTATGATCATCTTGTGCAGCTAATCGAGCCTCAATGTTACCTTACACTTCAATACAGTAGGAAATCCAGAACATAGCTCTTGTACAGTATATTCACACAAAACATGTACACCATCTAATGTTTTTCTTTCACCAGTGTAAACAATGGAATTCAAATGGAAAGAAATCTCCCATTGGTTCTTGCAATCAAACAAATTAATCAATCAATGGACTTGTACACATTTTCAGACTAAAATTTCATTACTTTTCCAAAACTTTTAGGTAAATTTCCATGACCTAATGTTTCTTGTAATGTCTCTGTATAGATATTGAGGAGAAAATGCACAATCATTATAAAAGCATACAGTAAAATACATGAAAATCTATTATGCTTATAATACAAAATAAAATGTATTAAAATGCTAACACAACACTGTTCGAATAACACACAAACTATTATAATAATGAAATAAATTACTGTATAAATAATAAATAATGAATTCATTCATTCATTAAATAAAACTTTTTAAAAATCATTAAAAAAAAAAAAAAAAAAAAATATATATATATATATATATATATATATATATATATATATATATATATATAATTAAAATAAATAAGTAAATAATACAATTAAATCAATAAATGAATAAAATAAATAAATATTTAAAAATAAACAATCAAATAATTAGAAATTAGAAATATAAAAAAATTGTTTAGAAATAAATGCATTTATTCATTAATTCATTCATTTATTAACAATTTAAAAAAAATAAAAAAATTACAAATACATTATATCAAAAATAAAAAAATAAATATATATAAATCAAAAAATAAACAGAAAAAAATAAAAATATATAAATAAAATTGAATAAGTAGTTATATATAAATAAAAAATATTAAAATTAAATAATCAAATATATAAAAACAAATATAATAAAAATTGTATTAAATAAACAAATTAATGTACTCAGAGAGAGAGAGAGAGAAATAAAAAAATAAATAAAAACATAAATAAAACTAAATAAATAATTATATATAATTAAAAATAAATAATAAAAATAAATAATCAATTAAATAAAAACACAAATATAATTAAAAATTAATTTAATAAATAAATAAATTCATTTATTAAAATAAAAATGTAATAAAAACAGAAAACAATGAATAAATAAACACAAAAATAAATAAATATATAAATAAATAATAAAATAAATTAATAAAAGCATAAATAAAATTAAATGAATAAATAAAATGAATGAATGAATGAATGAATGAATGAATGAATGAATGAATGAATGAATTATTGAATGAATGAATGAATGCAGTGTGAACCATTTAGAATGTAACCTTAGATGAACTAGTTTATCCTGGTGTTTATTATTCACTTATGAACACGATAGTTTATGTTAATGATTCATTCTCTGTGGCCTTCAAACAAACAACCAAATGATCGACAGGACTGAGCATTAGCTGAAGAAGAAAAAAAAACACGATCCCGACACACACACGTAATATTCTGACTTGACATGCAGACAGTGACTGGCTGAAGGTTAAACATGTGTGCCTTCCATCGCCATCTTAAACGCCCGCTGTAATTAAGCCTTTTTCCAGCCGACTGACCGCAGCTCCTGTCAGAGCACGTCAGGGATTGCAGAAGCACAGACAGGCCGATAAAAGCGGGTCGACTGTGACAGAGACAAAAAAAAAAAAAAGATGGGAAAAGGAAAAGACTGCAGGAAATTGATGGAGAGGCGTAACAGCCAATAAAAACCGAGACGGAAATGAAACCAAGACTTATTTGTCTTCTATTTTCATTAACCTTGAAGCTCAATGAAGCGAACAGATGTTTCATTTTTCACGCCATATTACATAAAAAATGCCTTATGCATATTTAGATCCAGCATACTGAAATAAAGGCTTAAACCGAGCTGTTTAAAGAGAAATATTAGTGTTTACAGTCAAGCTAATGGCCTCGCCAAGGTAGCACATTAATGCTGAGGAGCTAAAGGATAATGCCAGGAATAAATGAATGTAGAAGAGAGAGCCATCATTTACACTCATCTTTAAGCTACTGTATAGCGGCTCTCTTCAATGGCCAATCCATCTAAGTATGCAATAATTAGGCATCTAAATAACACATGTTGCACAAAATGAACTGTTAAGAGAGATGTCTGTGGTTTTCATTAAACAGCGGTCATATATAAGTGTTGGAAGCACACGAGTGCTGCATTCCAGATGCCTTATCTCTATTATTAGAGCATAAATGATGTATTTGTGTAAGGATCTAAAGTGGATGACTTAACTAACAACTAGTATTGCATTCGGAGCAAGTACTGTAGGGCTTTAGAAATATGATTTTGAGTGTGCAACAGTTTGTTTTTTGTACTCAGCAAGGACACATTAATTATGTTACAAAAGATGACTATTTCAAATAAGTGCCCTTCTTTTGAACTTTCTATTCATCGCACAAAAACATCACTGTTTCTACAAAAACATTGCTGTTTTGATTCCTAATAAAATAAAAATGAGAAATATTTCTTGAGCGGCAAACCAGCATAATGATTACTGAAGGATCATGTGACACTGAAGACTAAGGATGCCAAAAAGTCAGTTTGCATTACAGGAATAAAATACAATTCAAATGTTTTAAATGTTTCCCAAATGATGTTTAACAGCAAGGAAATGTTCACAGTATTTCTGATAAGAGAAGGCTCAACCTCCTTTACCCGACTTTGCTATTCTAGGTACTACCAGAAGCCCTGAGTTTTTAGATCTTAAAGATTAATAAATGAAAAAAATAAGTAAATAAATAAAATGAATAAATATATTAAATCAAAAATACATAGAAATATAAAAACATAAAAAATTATAAAATTAAATAAATAGCTATAAATGAATAAAAAATAAAAAATATATTTAATCAAATAAATAAAAACAAATTTAATAAAAATATTATTAAATAAATAAATTTGTTCATTCATTAAATAAAAATTAAAAATACAAAAAATTAAATACAATTAAAAATTAATAAATAAATAAAAACAAAAATTAATAAATATATATGAATAAATAAATAAATTAAAACACTAATACATTTATATAAACAATATTAAATAAATAAATAAATAAATAAATAAATACTTTTTTCTGGAGAAAGTCTTATTTGTTTTATTTCGGTTAGAATAAAAGCAGTTTTACATTTTTTAAAAAAACATTTAAGGTCAAAATTATTAGCCTCTTTAAACTATAATTTTTTTTTCGATAGTCTACAGAACAAACCATCATTACACAATAACTTCCCTAACTACCTTAACCTGCCTAGTTAATCTAATTAACCTAGTTAAGCTTTTAAATTAGTAGCGCTGCATAGTCTCTGAGGGCCTCGTAATGAGTGTCCCCAGGTGGAAATACAGAATAAAGAGAATAATTAGCTTAGCTGCTGTTCATAGTGTGTATAAACAAGATGTAGAAACCTGCGTGAGGCACATTCAAGTATCATACTGCTAAGTGATGCACTGGGTGTATGCTTTACTAAAAAGATAGGTCTTTAATCTAGTTTTGAATTGGGAGAGTGTGTCTGAGCCTCAGACATTATCAGGAAGGTTATTCCAGAGTTTAGTAGCCATAAATGAGAAGGCTCAACCTCCTTTACTCGACTTTGCTATTCTAGGTACTACCAGAAGCCCTGAGTTTTGAGATCTTAAAGATTAATAAATGAAAAAAAGAAATAAATAAAATAAATAAATATATTAAATCAAAAACACATAGAAATATCGACTCTACACCATAACTTTTCAATCCAGATGGATGGGGCAACAATTACTGCATCCAAAACGGTGAAAAGCCTTGGAGTAACGATTGATGACCAACTAAACTTCTCTGACCACATTTCTAGAACTGCTCGATCGTGCAGATTCGCACTCTATAACATCAGAAAGATCCGACCCTTCTTATCTGAACATGCAGCTCAACTCCTTGTTCAAGCTCTTGTTCTCTCCAAACTGGATTACTGCAACTCTCTACTAGCAGGGATTCCAGCTAACTCTATCAAACATCTTCAACTGCTCCAGAATGCAGCAGCACGAGTGATCTTCAATGAACCTAAACGAGCACATTTCACTCCGCTGCTAGTCCGTTTGCACTGGCTGCCAGTTGCTGCTCGCATCAAATTCAAAGCTCTGATGTTTGCCTACAAAGTGACTTCTGGCCTTGCTCCTTCTTATCTGCTCTCGCTTCTGCAGATCTATGTGCCCTCCAGAAACTTGCGTTCTGTGAATGAACGTCGCCTCGTGGTTCCATCCCAAAGAGGCAAGAAATCACTTTAGCTCACGCTCACGCTCAATCTGCCCAGTTGGTGGAATGAACTCCCTAACTGCATCAGAACAGCAGAGTCACTCGCTACTTTCAAGAAACGACTAAAAATCCAACTATTTAGTCTCCACTACACTTCCTAATCTGCAATTGCCTCTCTGAATATCACACTAACTGTACCAAAAAAAAAAAAAAAAATACTAATACTACTAATACTTCCCTTCTTAGACTTTACAGACCTGAAACTTGCCTATAGCACTTATTCATTGTTGCTCTTGGTTGTGTAAATTGCTTCCTTGTCCTCATTTGTAAGTCGCTTTGGATAAAAGCGTCTGCTAAATGACTAAATGTAAAATGTAAATGTAAATATAAATACAAAAAAATATATATATAAATAAATAAATAAATAAAATAAAAAAAATAAAAAAAATACTTTTTTCTGGAGAAAGTCTTATTTGTTTTATTTCGGTTAGAATAAAAGCAGTTTTACATTTTTTTAAAAAACCATTTAAGGTCAAAATTATTAGCCTCTTTAAGCTAAAATTTTTTTTCGATAGTCTACAGAACAAACCATCTTTATACAATAACTTGCCTATCCTAACCTGCCTAGTTAATCTAATTAACCTAGTTAACCTTTAAATGTCACTTTAAGCTGTATAGAAGTGCATTGAAAAATATCTAGTCAAATATTATTTACTGTCATCATAGCAAGGAAAAAATAAATCAGTTATTAGAAACGAGTTATTAAAACTGTTATGTTTAGAAATCTGTTGAAAAAATCTTCTCTCCGTTAAACATAAATCGGGAAAAACATAAACATAAATCTATATATATAAGTATAAATCTATATATAAGTAAATATATATATATATATATATATATATATATATATATATATATATATATATATATATATATATATATATATATATATATATATATATATATATATTTTTTTTTTTTTTTTTTTTTTTTTTTAAGCAAAATTGTCCACATATTTCTGGGAATTAGCGCAAACAAATCAGTCATTTTTATTGCAAAGAAAGTTAGGTTGCTGCTGGAAGTGATGTTAGTGATGCTTAGATTACATTAGATGTTAGGGTGCTCAACCTTAGTAAGGTCAATAGCTTTGTTTTCTTGTTTCTCTACATACCTAGAGTACTCTTCATGTGGTTTTGCTGATCTCTACGGGTTTGAGCTGGTTTTGGGCTGGTCTGTAGAACTCCAGGGTCTAAGCCCAATGTGAAAAACCCCTGTAGATCTTTATACTGTCCCGGTTTGATGTGTTGTCTCTGGGATAGAGAATGAAGAGCCTGTAGACCAGATGAAAAATAGATATAAACGGGTCAATGGTATGTCTTCTATACAGACCTATACTAAAATTATGTAATAAAATGTAATAAAAGTATCTATGGATGTGAAAGGTTCTTTATGGAACCATCAATGCAAAAAATAAATTTTTAAGATAACCCAGGCTCATTCTGAAATAGTACCCCTATATACATTTCTGGAGTGAGCAAAATATGTCCCAGGAGCTACGTTTTTTTGCAGGTTTTGTTTTTGCGAATACACAAGAGGTTGCTGTGTATGCTTTTACAGAACTCAAACTTCTCTCGGGAGTGCCATTCATGCCTGCTCTTCTCACGTAAATCAGAGGCTGCAGTCGACTGACTGACTGATTGATCAACTGACCCACCCTCCTCCTTCCCTAAACCCAACCAATAGAGTTTTTAAATAGTGTGTTCTTTACTGGGCTCGAATCTCGTTGTCGCGGTCAACTCTCTGCGTGTCAAATCCAAAGACATACGCGGCGAGCCACTGAGCAAACTAGTAACAAAAAAATCGTCCACATGGAGGTGAGTGGTCAGCTAATAAGCCTGAAAAAAGAACTGTGTCATAACGCCCCATAGCATTCATTTTAAAGACAAAATGCAGCCATACGTAGCTCTGGCTACATAATTCACGATCTCCATAAATGTATATAGAACTACGTTTTCAGAATGAGCCTGTGTTGTTTAAAAAAATGCCCAAAAAATGATGTATTAATATTTTCTTAAGATTTTTGTGAGGTTTAAAATAAAAATTGTATGGATGATAAACATATCTGTAAAATCATGAATAAAACAATATTCACAGTAACAGTTTAAGATTATTTTTAAAATGACTCTTATTTTCAGCATTTCTCACAGTATCATTATGCACTATTTTTATCATCTGAATAATCTTTTTTTAATTTTGAATAAAATGTTTATTCAATCTTTTACCATCATCCTGAATTTTCCGAAATCCTTCTATTAGGTTTAATAATTTTGTCAAAATTATGATATGCCTTTGTTTGAAATAGAAATGTTATAACATAAGCATCTTTTTTTTGAAAGCATCCTGATGGGAAAAATGTATTATTGCTATTTATTCAATAGTGTGTGCTTTGCCTGTTAACTGTGCTCATCTACATTCAGTTCTGGGAACTATATTTTACGACATTATGACAACGCTGAGTGGCTAAACACAAGCACATCTATTCTTATACGCAGGTTAAATTAGGCAAAATTTAATCTGTCTATTAAACATGAAGCACACAGACAGACAGAAACCTTTTTGAAAAAAAAATTATATGTATTTTAAAGCATAAAAGGAAATGAGAAACAATTATATTTTGATTGAGTCTCAGTCGGCGTCCTTTAAATGGAAAATGAGGTACGGGGGGAAAAAAGAGAATCGGCGGGTGGTAATTAAGGACATACATTTTCTGATCGCCAGACAAAAGAGCAGAGATAAGGCCGCTTTCTGATCAGACATTTAATTTCAGGTGTTTAATATAATTCATTTTCTTTTCTCTCTCTTTATGTTATGCTATTAAACTCTGATAGTCCATTTGCGGCCGAATTGACGACTCTGTTTCCTCTCGCTATTCCTCAGCGGATGGGATGTGAGAGTAGTCTGGGCTTTTTCCTGCCATTACCTCTCTCACAGCAGGAAATCTGCAATTAAATTAGATGTAATATCTAATTGATCGAGTCCTTAGCGTCCGAGAGTTTCACTAAAGGCGAATTCTTTTGATAGTTCTCATACGCTCGTCTCCATGATGTGGTCTTTGAAGCTTATATTTTTCAGTTATATTAATGTGGTTGCATCTCCATCAAAGCAGCTAGCTATAACTATACATTTTGTGAGTATTTTTAAAGTAATGGTTACTTTTACTGAGCAACAATGTATTCAATTCATAAAAATGAAAATAAAGGTATTTATGCTATTTAAAATGTACTTTTTTTAAATAACTCCCAAAGCTGCTGCTTATTAATAGTTTTTAAGGTAGTAGCTGGGTTTAGTATTAGGTGAACTTATAGTATAGAATAAGTTCATGCAGAATATGTGCTTTATAAGTACTATTAAACAGCCAATATCTTATTAGTAATAGACAGGTAATAAACTAGTATGAGAATGGGTTTCTATACTAAAGTGCTACCCATTTCTTTTCCTGTCTCTTCTTCTAGTGTTTAATAGTCAACACAGGCTCGTTGTGGATAAGTACCACTGTCTACATTTCTAGAGAGTTTAGTTATGTAACCAGAGGTACGTTTGGCTGCATTTTGTCTTTAAAAGGAACACTATGGGACAGTATGATGCTGCCAATGGCTTCTTAGCACTACCAGCTCACTGCTTACCTCCTTATGGATGGAGTTTTCGGTGTTGCAAAGTTGATTAGTGGCTCGCTGCGAACGCCGATGCAGGGCTTTAAAAGTTTGAAACTTTCAGAGCACCTACAAAATATGTATGAGCACCAGTACAAATTGTATATAAACGGATTTGTTGTATTTGAAAACAACATTAATCAGAAATAACAAAACAACTGTGAGAACTATCTATAATATACATCTCAGGGATGAAAACTCTCACTTCTACCACTCTTTAAAAGCTTTGGTTTCGGTTTGTGTCATTTTAAATGCTCAGTTATGTGCCGAGTTATGTTTTTCTGTGTTTGTGGAAAAAAGCAGTCGAGTCAGCCGGCTCAATATATGAGCGGGGCAAAGCAGGATTCTGCCGATGACCACCTGCGCAGTACCATTCTGTCATGAGTAGGGCTAGATGGAATCTGCAGATGTTTTTTGCTATTTCTGCTGAGAATTTTGGTAAAAATCTACAGATTTCTGCGGGAGTATCATAACTAAAACTTTAATATGTGAAATAAAAATATATTTTTAACTTTTATTTAATGTTTAAGAATGGAAATCCAATTAGATCCACTTTATTTGGTAAACAAAGCAAGTCTCTCATTTAATATATCTACTAAAAGACGGAAAATATTACTGCTCAAACTTTATTGTACAAAAATCAGATAAACATTTTCACATTATTCAATAATAAAAACTGAATAAATATAGATTTACACACATTTACTCAAGTAAATAAGCAGAATTATTGATGGGCTAAAAATCTGCGGAATTCTGCTTGCAGATTCTGTGTGGGCCTTGTTATGAGCCGCAGTTTCAGTTTAAACTTAGTAAAGGCGAGACATCATCTCTAGTGATGATGTATACAGTGGTAGATTTTACATGTGGTAGATTTTACATGTTTTACATGTGTAGATTTTACTCAGTGAATGCCACACGAGATCTGGGCAATTAAACAGCTGATCTACTTTGAGTCTTTCAGCACTTTCTCTGAAAACACTCGATTGATCTCGGCTAGCGGATCAACATCCATCACATGATCGCTCTCATCTGTGCCATTATTTATAACTTTAGGTGGGCTTACAAACCTGTGTACTTTTCATTATGTCTTAAACCTCAGCCATTTGCCTTTTAAGTGGTCAGAAAAGCACCCTGTCATCTGACAGCGGAAAGCCTTGAGTGATTGACAGCTAATATGAACCATTATCACAGCAGGGAAGATCAATTCAGCACGCTTTAAAAAAAATCAAAACAGGTCACATTAAAACCATTATATGCTGTCGCAAAAATGCTCCCAAATATAAAATGAGGTTGCATAGATTCAAGTTGGTCGCAAAATGGTTGCAAGCCCTGCAATAGATTTGGGACATGGAGCTGAATTGACCGTGACAACAGGGTTCAAGTCTGCTGAAGAACAGTTCCATAAACCAAGTAAAACAGCAAAAATAGATATATAAAAAAAAACAACAGGCTGAAAATGTGGTGAAATTATTGCTTTTGAAAACACTATCGGTTGGGTTTACGGATGAGGGTGGGTGGGTCAGTCCGTCAGTCATTTGACAGCAAGCTGGTCTGCTGAAGTCTATATTGTGCCCACAGGTGGATTAATGTGAGAAGACGCGCAAGAGAAATTTAAGATCATAAAAAAGCATACACATCGGCCTCGATTTGTAAAAACAAACGCTGCAAGCAGACGTACCTCCATCTATGTATTTCGCTGATCCCAGAAATGTAGAACTAGGTACGTATCCATAATGAGCCTGGGTTGCAAATAGAATTCAAGTAGAAAAACTACATTACCCAAGATGCTGTATAGAACATTTGACCAATGAGAGAGTCGCAGAGAGCAAAGTGTGTAAAACATATCATTAGCTCCGCCCACAGCTATGAAGCACTGTTGTGTAATAATGTTTCTATGCTCATCAGTCCATTTACATATGCAAATTTTGTAATAAAGTAAAAATATGTCAAACTTTAAATGACTAGTCATGTTACTACTTTTAATTTGATTCAATTTAATTGGAGTCATCTGTAAAATACTGTATCATGGGATTGTAAACTGTACTTGTCCCTCATTAAAGCCAATAAATATGAAGTCTCATACCTTTTGTTTGACTTTGATAAACTTCTTTGCTTCAAATCAGAGTTTGTAATGCTAATGGAGCCTTGTAGCTGGTTGATCTTGTTCATGGCTCATAAAGCTTTAACAAAGGCCTTAATAAAATCTCTAATGGAAAAATGAAGAGTAAAAAAAAAAATCTGGGAACCAGTGCTGCAGAAAATCTGTTCAAACACTAATGTCCAAAAGAAATTTTTACCTGAGCCTATTTTTACCTAAAGCAGTGGTTTTACAGCATTTTAACCAAACAAATGCTCCATTGGAAAGAATTAGAAATGTTTCTCAGAAATCCTTTCAACCACAAACTTTTGAACAGTACTGTATTAACTCTTCTGAACAGTTTATGGGTAACCTGTTACAAGTTAACTGAGGTTTAAAGACATCTCCGTTCACCTGAGAAGATCCGGTGAACAGTCTTGGCTCTGACTTTAAGAGGTTTGGAGATAGGAAAAAAGGCTCTGCTTGAGCAATTGTGGTGGGACTCGGAGAGGGAAGAGCGTTCTTCTGTTCATCTTTATCTGTTATTCGTCTTAGTTCTTCATCAGATGAGTCTTCCTCACTGGGCACCAGACAACCATCTTCATCTGTCATTTCCTCTTCTGAATCTGACCAATGACAAGCACAGAAAGAGGAGACACCATGAGGACGGAGTAGAGAAAACAGAAAGCCAGAGAGGAGACATTTCAGCAGGAGGCCTGCGATGAGGATGCAAACACGCGCCCTTATCTAATGCTCGCAGCGAGCCGCCTGGCCAAGGTCTAGCAGAGCTTGTGTGTTTCTCTTCCCTGCTTTCTGTCTGCTGCCTCCTGCATTAATAATGCTTATCCGACACAGCTTGAAGTTCCTATCACTCTGCTAGTCAGCAAATACTGCAGAAACAACTGCTGTGTGAATGAAGGCTGATGTCTACACCGGTGCTTTCTCATAATCTTTACTCTCTTAATGCAGATGAGCCGGACCCCAAGGGATGATGGAGATCGGGTTCTTGTCATTTAGAAGATATTTTTCAAAGTTTATAGCTCAGCTCTTTATTTGGACTGATCAATCCTGTATGTGAATGTCAAGATTTTGGCACAACAAGAAAACTTGGACATTAAAAGAGGTTATGAACTGCCCTTTTGTTTATTTTGGACTGCATTCTGAGATCCTGTCATAATGCTATGCTATCATTATTTTCTGTATATATATAAAAAAAAATACATAGAAGTTTAGAAATAACAGGCTATTTTCAGTGAAATTCTGCCCCTTGGCAGATTGCAGACTTGGAAGTAAATGGCCAATGGTATGACTGGTAACAGTTTGCACACTTAAAAAATATCAAAGTTTGAAATGACAGCCAGCTTTGTGCACAACAATTTAATTTTCTCTATCTATGTTTGACAGCCCACATACTTCATAGATAAACATAGCTGTGACTTAAATGCATAAATGCATTTTAAACAATCAGTAGTAACAGATAAATCAACGGTGACCATGTGATAAAACCATTTGCTCACATTTGTGCTGTGCAACATTACTGTCAGGTCCAATTATAGGCAGCACGGCAACATATTCCTTTCAATCTCATTGAAAATCCAGTCACAAATTACTTGTGTGGTCTGGAACTTCATTAAAAACAAAAATCACAATGACTTTTTTTCAGTGACACTTTGCCAAATTGTTTAGGTCGCAATTTATGTTATTAGCAAACCATTAACTAACACTACTACCTTAATAAACTACTAATCAGCTGTCTGTTAATAGCTAGTAAGGTAGAAGTGGGGTTTAGGTTTTGGGTAGGATAAGGGATGTACAATAAAATCATACTTTATAACCAATGAACAGTTAATATCTTAATAATGGGCAGGTAATAAGCCAGTAGTCATTAGACTGAACTGTGACATACGTCTTACCCTTTTTTCTAATTGTGGTTTTTACACAATGTGGTACAGCACAGCGTCTTGCTGTTTTCAAAGCGTTTGGTTTCTACGTAGACCTACATTTGACTATTTAGTTTTTTTACTTACTACACTAAATATTAGTGAGCGTAGCTAAACAGGCAATTATATAGTAGTAGGCACTACTTATATGGACGACCCAAATTAACCCAGGCTCATTTGGAAAAGTACCACTATATACATTTCTGGAGAGCGCCAAAAACGTCCCAGGAGCTACGTTTTTTTTTTTTTTTGCAGAATTAGTTTTCGCGAATCAATCAGAGGCCGCTGTGCATTTTTTAAGATCTCGAATTTCCCCTCACGGATGCCATTTGCGCCTGCTGTTCTCGTGTAAATCCACCAGAGGCTGCTGTCGACTGTCTGACTGACTGAATTGATCACCCACTTCCCTAAACCCAACCGACAGTGTTTGCAAAAGCTTTCCAGAAAAAGAAAAGCCCTCGCCTGATTATTATCACGTTTTCAGATTTTATCATATTCTCACCCTGTTATTTACTTTTTTTTGGGGGGGGGGCTTTTGTTTTTGTCTTACCCGTGCAACCCTGCCGGTCCTACGCCACCCAACCTGGTCCGAGCTAGTATCGAACCGGCGACCTTCCGCATGGGAGTCGGTTGCTCTACCAAGGAGGTTAAAGACCATAGCCTTTAGCATCTGTCACTAGAGCACCTTTAGAGGTCAGAGGAGTGAGGTTTACCTGCACAGCCTTTACTAGCTGGCCTCTGTTACAACGGCTTTCTGGAACTGTTCTTCATTAAACTTGAACCCCGTTGTGGCCAACTCCGCTTTGCGACTCAAGTCCGCTGACGTACATGGTGAGCTACTGGACAAACTGGTAACAGCAGGAAAGAACCATATGGAGGTAAGCAGTCAGCTGGTAAGCGCGAAAAGGAACGGCATCATACCACCTTTGTAGCTTTCCTTTTAAAGACAAAATGCAGCCATACGTACTGGTTACATAATTACTGGTTACGCAATTTCCAGAATTGTATATAGGGCTACATTTTCAGAATGAGCCTATGTCGAATAAAATGGTACATTCCACAACCGGTCGTTTTGACAGACTGACTCAAATTTAAGCTGTTTTTAGGCTAACAAGGAAGTTTTGAGTTCTAAAACTTGCAGGATGTTTTTCTTGTACAATGATCTCATACATGTCAAAAGATAAAAGAAGTTTTAATTTCTCAGATTATGACCCCTATAAATTCCAGTACTAACCTGACATGTTCAGCTGCAGGGAGAGTAGTGGAGTTTTGCGTGACTTCCTTGCACCCTTTAACCATTTGGAAGTCAAGGGGGAATCATGTTCGTCAGTGCGTGAAGATTTCATCACTGGTGTAGACCTGATGGAGTCATGGACAGAAGTGGAAGGTGTGCTTCTATCAGATATTACACCAGACTGTGACGATTCTCTAGGCCACAATGGAGGACATGCTGAGTTTTGTGAATTAACAGCACGTTCTGGAGAAGATTGAGATAGTTTTGATATTGAATGCTTAATTGGAGTGGCAACTAATCTTGATCTTGGGGATGGAAAATCTGGAGGTTTTGGCGTTTGTTTAGAAATGTGAAATGCAGGAGAGAGACATTGAGAAGATCTAGAAAATGGTATTCTGTCAAGAGAAGGGCTGACCATGGAAATATGGTCCTCGGAGTCTTTGAATGTTTGATTTAATTTGGTTTTCAGGGACAAAGGAGATGATTTTTGCAGACTTTCTGAACATTCATCCTGTTGTGCTGTTGAAGAAGTTCGTGGGCTTGATTTTGGAAAGTTATTGAGGTTTACTTTCTGGCCTCCTGTTGGCGAATTTGACAGAAATTGTTCTGAGGTTGTCGACATAAGAAGCGGTGAAAAGCTTTCAGATTTTGGCATTAAAGATAAATTCTGTTCAGGTTCTTGTGATGGCAGCCACATCTCAGAAAAAGAGCTGGTTTTTATGTCAGAAACATTTTCAAAGAAAGAGCCTTTGGCCATCTCAGAGATCGACGTTGTAGAAACTGAACAGCCAAATTCTCCTCCCTCAGACAAATCTTCATTCCCAACAGCCACAAACCTATAGGAAAGAAAACAAATCTGTACTTCCTGCCACAGTCAGCCTTATTTTAATTACTTAAGCTCATTCTGAAAACTTTCCCCTATATACACAATTCTGGAGATCGCAAATTATGTAGCCAAAAGTATGTATGGCTGCATTTTGTCTTTAAAACGAACACTATGGGGCGGTATGACCTCGTTCCTTTTTGCACCAGCAGCTGACCGATTATGGACGTCTTGCCTGCTGTTACTAGTTTGTCCAGTGGCTCACTGCGTACGTCGGCAGACTTGAGACAAAGAGAAGAGCTGACTGCGACAACGGGATTCAAGTCCGGAGAAAAAACTGGTCAATTGGTGCTTTTCAAAACACAGTCGGTTGAGTTAAGGGGAGTGGGTGGGCGCTGGTCAATCGGTGCTTTTCAAAACACAGTCGGTTGGGTTTAGGGAAGTGGGTCGGCGCTGGTCAATCGGTGCTTTTTTTAAAAACTATCGGCTAGGTTTAGGGAAGTGGGTGGATGCTGGTCAATTGTTGCTTTTTAAAACACTATTGGTTGGTGTTACTGCCCGTGTGGCTCGGAGGATGAAAAAGAATAAACATGATTATAACAACCCAATATTTTTTTAATTCCCCTGAGACTTTAGCTGCTATGGATCGATACAAACAATGGAAGTGGCATAAAGTGGTTCGCTTTATTTACAATAAAGAAAAAAAGAATTTTTAATCACTCAAAGTGTATTTAAAAATATGTAGAATAGATGCAAAATAAGCAAACGAATCAATTGAAACAAACCTGATAGAGGGAAGAAAAATAAGCGGTGCCAAATCAAAGAAAATAACAAATTAAACACCCGCTAACTAATCCCTTAATTCCCACCTCTAATTAACTAGAGAAATCTAAAAATAGAAAATAAAACATTGTGGCTTATCTTAAAAGCATCTTCCGGTTTAGAGAAGAGGGTGGGGGTATTGGTTGGTCGGTCAGTCAGTCAGTCGACAGCAGCCTCTGGTGGATTTACACAAAAAGAGCAGGCACGAATGGCACTCGGCCTCTAATGGATTAGCAAAAACAAAACAGCAAAAAACGTAGCTCCTGAGATGTACTTGCCGCTCTCCAGAAATGTATATAGGGGTACATAATAAGAATGAGCCTGGGTTTTTTTTTTTTTTTTTTTTTTTGCAGATACAAATGCAAATGTTATCAAGACACTGTGTTTGTGTCAGTTTTGATTTTAGAAAAAAAAAAAAACAGTTTTGTCAATTACATTCCTGCTTTAAAACAACACTCTGTGAACTATTCTGTCACTTCCTTTCAGAAAGTTTCAGTTTTTAGCCTTGATCTTAAGTTTCTTACACTTTGCTCTCATTTTTCTGCGAGACTCCGACAGATCTGTCTGCATCCGCCTGGATAAATTAAAGTGACAAAAAAACAAAACTATGTGAGAAGCAATAGAATGAAAAGTATTAGGTAACAGCATTGAGGAGTCATTTGCTGGCCAGGGTCCAGCAATCCAGCACTGGGGTTCAGAATTACCTCATCTAACTGTACGATGCTCACACAGGATTTTGCAGGGCTGCCCGCTTTCCCATCATGTTCGGCGGGAGTGATCGTGAAGAGAGAGGTCAAGTATTTATGCAACTCCATGCGCTCTGCTGCAAATCAGAGATGAAGTAAAAAAGATTTATGTTTCGAGTTAAACACTAAAATTAAATCAGAGCAAAGATCAGTATGGCCTTACTGCTGTAAATGTGTGTGTTTATTCATAACGCAGAGTGATGGATCAGCGAAAAACGCATGATTTATGAACCAATATTTCAGGTTAAAAAATAAATAAAGTAGAATGGGATTTGATTCGATTGGATTGTGTAAAGGAGGCATATCATTCCTCAATTCAAATGCTTCATTATTTGCTATAACTGAAGCAAATAAAAATTAAAAGGTGCTCTTCGTCTGATTTATGAATTAAAATAATATTGTTGTAATCTGACAGAATGCAGCAATTATTTGCTTATCCGACACAGCTTGAAGTTTCTATCACTCTGCTAATCAGCAAATACTGCAGAAACAACTGCTGTGTGAATGAAGGCTGATGTCTACACCGGTGCTTTGTCATAATCTTTACTCTCCTAATGCAGATGAGCCGGACCCCAAGGGATGATGGAGATTGGGTTCTTGTCATTTAGAAGGTATTTTTCCAAGTTTATAGCTCAGCTCTTTATTTGGAAGGATCAATCCTGTATGTGAATGTCAAGATTGTGGCACAACAAGAAAACTTGGACATTAAAGAAGTCATTAACTGTCCTTTTGTTTATTTTAGACTGCGTTATGAGATCCTGTCATAACGCCACTGTATGTTATCATTATTTTTTATATTGAAAACAAATAATTAAGAAATAGTAGACTTTTTTAGCAATTGTTTCAGGACAGACCACAACAAATATTGTTTATATTTTTATGTTTATTAGTTTTGTTTATTTGTTTGTTTCTTCAAGACAGAAAAAAAAAAAAAAAAATATATATATATATATATATAAATAAAAATAAATTTACTTTCTGAATAAATGCCCCTGGTGCGTATGATACATACCTGCATATGGTTCTATTTTTACATTTTTTTTTATAAACTTCTTTGATTAAAATACAATATGTATATATATATATATATATATGTATATATATATATATATATATATATATATATATATAATATTTTGAAATATTTAAAATAATAGTAAATAATGAAAATTAATAATAATACTTTAAGTGAGGTTTATTTATAAACTAATTTGATTTGGATCACGTGCTTATGATTTACCACAGCCGCTCTTGCATAAGCTAATTATGATCGTCCAGTCATATGATTTCTAAGTTACCATAAATAACTACAGTCTTCAGTCCACATTTATCTTTGTCTGAACAAAACCCCCCTTAGTCCCCATTCTTCTCCTTTACCATAGATGGGGCTGCACGGCGGCCCAGTGGTTAGCACTGTTATCCCAACAGCAAGAACACTGCCGGCCTTGGTCCCCGCCAAGCTGGTGGGTGTTTCTGTGAGGAGTTTGTATATTCTCCCCGTGTCCGTTTGGGTTTCCTCTGGGTTCCACGGTTTCCTCCCACCATCCAATGTCCATCATAACACATAACAGATTTAGCAGATCAGGCATTTGTCTAGCTCCCTTCTTTTTCAAATGTTCCCTTAGCTACTGCAGCCGGGGAGTTTTTGAGATCCCCACTCGCTCTGTGAACGGGAGGGAGCCCTGGGCTTGAGGATCTCTTGAGCTCAGGGCTCACTCCCAGGACAGCATGCCAAACTAGCTTTAGATAGATCATCAGCTAAGTGTGAAGTCTTGAAATAGGGTTTTCATTAAGAAATGAGGCATAAATGTGTCAAAATTAAGAGTAAACACATTTACAGTATAATGTACAAAATGTTCATTTTTTTTATTCACTGATTTAAATTTTAATTTATTCATTTAGTCATTTATTCCTTTATTCATTCATGCCTTTCTTTTGTACAATCTAATAAATCAGAACATATTTGTAAAAATGTTCACTTGAGTAGCAAATCGGGATATTAAAATGATTTCTAAAGAATCATGTCACATTTAAAGATGTTGAAATGTCAATATTTTCAAAAAAATTTTTTAAAAAAATAAAACAGTTTTCTTAAATTGTAAGATTATTTTGTTGTATTACCACATTTTCAGTCAAATAAGTGCAGTCTTAATGAGAATAAGTGACTCAACCTTTTAAGAGCTAAATAATAATAAATAATTCACCATTAAACGATGTATATTTTTCTGATATAACAACAGAAACAACTTTAATCTCATTTAATAACTTTAATAACTTTAATCTAATTTAATTAAATTCCTGCCAATAATTACTAATCACATATCCCCTTGCAAAAGCAAAAAAAGTCAGAAAAAATAGAAAAATAAATCTGAAAAATGCTCAGAAAGACATCTCTGAGTTTGAAAAAGTGAGTGAAAAGTACGCGAGCATCAGGAATGCATTTCATATTTTAAAGAGAGACCTGTAAGGGGTACTCATTTATGCTGGGAACTGTAAATGTGTCTAAATCAACGCAATCTCACGGTAATTCGTATGAATTCGTACAATCTAATTCGTACAATTTAGTACGATTTGCTCATCACCCAATGACGGTTGGGGTTAGGTGCCTTGCCTCCTTTTTAAAATCGTGCATTTTCGTACGACTGAACTCGTACGAATTAACCACTAAACTGACAAAATACTTACGTTTCCTCGTGAGATCAGGCTGGTCTAAATATGTATATTTATTTAAGTTTTTATTTCAATTTCATTAATCTTCCTAAATGCTATGCAAATATTAATATGATTTAAGTAATATATAACTTGTAAAGTAATATTTTAGGCCTTTAGTAGATATATTTTATGAGAGACTTACTTGGCTTACATTCTATCACGGGCGTAAATCCCAGGAGGGACGGGGGGGACATGTCCCTTCCCATCCGAGGGTTGCCCCCCCCCTTCAAAAAAATAAAATAAAAAAAAACAAAATATATATATATATATAAAATCTCAATTGTGAAAAAATATGTATATATATATGTACCTAAAATAATTGTCTAAGTTGAAAGAAAACCGCATTTATCATTTAAAATGCATTTAGAAAAAGTTGAGTTTCCCCTCCCCTTCCTCAAAGTGGTTCGGTCTACTGTGTGCTTTTTCCCTCATCTCACTTACTCAGACACACATGTCAGGTGTGCGGTTGTGGCTGTGTTAATGTTGAATTTAAGTAAGTAAGTAGGGGGTTTTATCCACCTTAAATAAAGGGATTCTCTACAATGTAGTTATTCTATATATATAATATTTATATTACTGCGGAAGTAAAATCCTTTAGCGGATATCATCTCATCTTGTTAAATAAAAGATTGATTCGAGACAGGCATGGTGAGATTGAACGGCCAGAAAAAAAAAAAAACGAAATCTGACGAATGCTCAGACAGACACCTCTGAGTTTGAAAAAGTGAGTGAAAAGTACGCGGGCATCAGGATCATGTTTTTTTTTTATTTTTTTTTAGAAAAGATGTGAGAGACTTGAGCTTGTGTGGATGAGGAGAGCTAGTGCTCATCACGCAGCTGTTGGGAGAAGCTGAAGGTGGTCAGTTCTTTGACAGCTGTGATCAACTGGCCTCCCAGCAGCAGCAAAGAAACTTCTCTCAATCAGCTGTCGGAGTGCTCTGTCAGACGCTCGGCCTCCTCCAGTGTAATAAGAGCTCTGTGATTACCCTTCAGGGACGCAGTGATGGATCCAAGCTGCCCTCTGCAGTCACTCGCTCAACTCAGTCTACAACTTTTTTTTGAGAGAGAGAGGGGGGAGGAGGGTGTACTTGTGTGGATCTTTCTGAATCACACCTGCTGGCATGTACAAAACTGCCACCAATCACTAGGCCCACACAGAATCTGCACATCCACAGTTTTACTTGGGATTTTTTTTTATTGAGTCTATTTAGTTATTATGTGAAGTGCACAGCATACACGAGTACACCACCTTTTGAAAATGAAAATTGTTATCCATTTCTCAGTGAATATAGACAATATATTTTGGTGTATTTCAATAAAGCAGTTTTATTAAACAGACATATTCATTAAAATAAGACTTTGGTCACTGAACGTCTTTTGGAATAGAAAGATAATATATTTAAATTCAACTGAAATATTGAAAGAAATTATAAACCTGTTTTTTATGTTTTTCTTAATTTTTCCTCTTTATTAAAATGTAATTGTATAGTTTTCTCTATTATACACATTTGGGTTTTTCTCATATTTGGACTAATTTTTTTTTTTTTTTTTTTTTTTTTTTTTAGATCTAATCTAATGTGTACCAAATATATTATTGCAAAAAATATCTTGCTAGATTGCTAGATTTGTTTACAAATCGTACTTTAGCAAACTAGTCCTAGTTTTTCAATCAGCTTCAACAAAGCTAACTAATTTATTTATTTATTTATTTATTTTATCATTTTTCATGATGACAGTAAATAATATTTGACTAGATATTTTTCAAGACACTTCTATAGTTTAAAGTCACATTTAAAGGCTTAACTAGGTTAATAAAGCTAGATAGGCAGGTTAAGGTAATTAGGCAAGTTATTGTATAACTTTTTTAAATAATTTGTTTAGTAGACTATCGAAAAAAAAATAGCTTAAAGGGGCTAATAATTTTGGGGCTAATGGTTTTTAAATAATTATAAACTGCTTTTATTCTAGCCGAAGTAAAACAAACAACTAATACACACACACATATATGTATGTATGAATGTATGTATGTATATATCATTTCATAGAACTAATAATAAATACTGATAATATAATAATGATAACATTAGACATGCAACATATTAATATAATGCCAATGGTAATTGTTCACAAATCATACTTTAGCAAACTAGTCCTAGTTTTTCAATCAGCTTCAACAAAGCTAGCCGTAATATAGTTATGGATTTATTTAAAAAAAAAAAAAAAAAAAAAAAAAAAAGGTATGGACAAATATACCCAAAACCTTGAAAATTAAAAAATATAACATTATGAAATGAGGTTAACTACAATATGCTTCATATAAACAAAAGAGTAATAGTGTAAAAACAACCCATGTCTTTGGTAAATGCCTAGAAAAGGCCTAAAATGTGTTTTTGTTCACTGCATAAGCTAGTACACGATTGCTAAATGTCAAAAGTAATACCCTTTAATATAACTTGAACACATTTAATTGCTGCCTGCAGATATAATTTAGATAATTTATTATACAAAAGAAAAATAGGAAAAAAAACTGAATGTTAATGTTGCTGTTTAGTGTTTGGAAGTATGTGTCTGTATTATGAAATAGTTCATACCAGTCAGTTTTTGATTCAGTTCGTCCATCTCTGTTGTAAGGGGTGAGTGTGGCTCTGACCGGCACTGGATGACAGACCGAGGCTGAAATTCTTCAATTTGTCCTCTAAAGGAAGAGAAAATAACACTGTTCCCAGTAAATCACACCCAGAAATTTGAGGATAATTAATCAGACTCCCTTTGCTCAACGCTGCTACTATAAATAAACAACATTTCAGCACAGCACAGCACTTTGGTAATAGCTTTATCCACCTCGGAAAAATCTGTCCCCAGTAGGGAAAAGTAATATTAACCAGTAATGTAATGGCCCGGCATGTTTCACTTCTTTTCAATTTTCACAATCCAATCAATTGCTGATGTATAAAAACATAAAAGTCCTGCCCTGCATTATTTTAGGGATGTGTATATCCACACCTTTTCAAAAGCAGCTGGTAGCCTGTCTGATTGAGCAAATAACCTGTTAGTAATAAAAAAGACATAAAAACAATAGTTTTTAGTTATATAAAGTTCAGTCCTTCAACAGAGTACGGCTGGCCACACTTGTGAATTTTAAAGACAGGTTTGGGCCAGAAATGCACAACATTTTGTTTATTTGATATTTATGTGTTTATGATACCGTGTTCTTGTATAGTCTAGTGTCTTTATTTTTTGTGGCTTCCTAGACACAAAATCCGTGAAGAGTTTACATTTGTTTGTTTGTTTGTTTATTTATTTGCTTGCGTGCTTGTTTGGTTTATGCTTAAATACATAAACTTAACAAATATAGTAAAATAAGATATATTTGCATAAAATAATACTTAAAACAAAATTATGGTAAAAATAAAACACCTTTTCATAACATTAACATTAATAATTTCCAACATTAACAGACTATCTTGCCCAGTGCCTAAAGTAAGGCCCGTGGGCCAAAGCTGGCCCGTTGTAACCTTTGATTTGGCCCACCATTCCATCTGAAAAAGATGGAGCGGGTTGGAGAAAAAACCTTTAACAAAGTCATTTCTGGCACCTCCTTTTTTCTGTTTCTGTGCATTAGATCAGCTCTTCTGGCTTATGGGGTACCTTGAAACTCTCAACTATCTATTCACCCATTACGTAAATTAATCCTTCCTTCTTACAAATCTCCCTCCTCTGCTTCAGTTATCTATCTCTTTCTTCTTGAGCATTCATACAAACCTCTACTTATCACAACTGTTTGGGCTAAGGACCTTAATGATTATGTACACATTTTATTTTCAGATCAGGTATGGGAGATGTTTAAATGTCTTCTAGAAATCCTAATGACCAAATTATACACTGGAAATTCCTGCATAGATTCTACTTGACTCCAAAGAAACATGTTTATCTGAATCTCTCATCTTCTTCTAATTGTAATCTCTGTTTACAAGGATCTTTAGGCACTTTTTTACATTTCTTTTGAGAATGTCCCTCTCTCTCACCTTTCTGGACTCAGCTCTCACAGGATTTATCATACTTGTTGGGAACTGAGATATGTTTGACTCCACGTCATTTTTTCATGAATGACTTTTGGGACCTCACTTTGTCCGTTCAACAAAGATGTCTTCTGTTAACTGCTTTCACAGCAGCAAAAAAAAAAATGCTGGTCAACCGCTGGAATCCTCCTCATACCATGGACAGAAGAACCTGGACTGTGTATTTGTTGGACATTTTCTCGATGGAACTCTCAACTTCCCGTATACATGGAGCTAATATAAAAACTGTCAGTATATTGCATTCAGCCTTTGATGTTGTATCATCCTTTGTCAAGTCTTTGTAAAATTCCTTTGTAAAATTATTAGATTTTTTTATTTATTATTATTATTATTATTATTATTATTATTATTATTATTATTTTATGCTTTTGAAGTCTACCAGGGGTGGGATGGGTGGGAGAGGGTTGTAATTTTTTTTTTGTTTTATTCTCTGTTTTATATTGTTTCCTGAAAAACTCAATAAACAGTTGTTAACAAAACAAAAAGCATAGTCATTTCTAATTTGATGTAACATTTTTTGTTTGTTTGTTTTATTGCTGAGCTACAAAGAAAAGCAAACTAAAATGTATTGTTTCAATTAAATGTAAATGAATCTGAGTTTTTAAAATCTAAATATTGTCACTCGACAAATTATGCAGAAGACATCGGCGAGCAAATCAAGGCAAAAACTAGTATAACTCAGATCTGTTGTAAATGGGATTATTTTTGTTTTTACCATAACAAGTGAAAGCACTGTGTGCTTTTAACACTTGTAACACTGTGTAAAAGAATTTTCAGCCCTATTGCCCCAGTCTTTAGGCACACGTGATACTAAAAAAATCATTTGACTATAATGATGCTTAGAAAAGTATTCACTATCCCAGAGGTGGCCAACCCTGTTCCTGGAGAGCCACTTTCCTGCAGATTTCAGCTGCAATAAAAATCAAACACACCTGCCTGTAATTATCACCTGGTGTTCAGGTCCTAATTAATTGTCTCAGGTGTGTTTGATATGGGTAGCAACTGAAATCTGCAGGAAGGTGGCTCTCCAGGAACAGGGTTGGCCACCCCTGCCCTGTCAGCATCATCAATGTTGAAAACAGTTATGCTGCTTTACATTTCTTATTGTTAGGCTTTAATGAACAGACAGCATGCAGAATGTTAGAAATAGATTACTTTTATAAGATTATAAATGTCTTTCCTATCATATGTGATCAATTTAACATGTCTTTGCCTTGCATTATAAAAATTAAACGCTAAAGCAGTTTCAACAAACCATGCGCACAGTGTATGCAAGGAAAGTGACATCATTTCAATCCAATATAACCGATGAAGAGGACTGAAGGAAATTGATGACCCACACTTCCTGCTCAAGAATAAATCTCAGCTCATCCAGATTCCCCTGACCCACAGGTTTAGCCCTTTATACTTTTCCCGTCCATTTACCGGTGATTTACCACACAAACACATTAGCAGCAAAGCCATCAACCTTCTGTCTTCCCAAACACGAGCCTCTCTCTTTCTTTCATTCGCTCTTGCTGCTTCAGCAGGACAACCTGCTTCCCTCATTGTATGTGTGTGTGTGTGTGTGTGTTTGTAAGTGTATGAAGGGATTAGACACCCCTATCACACACTTCATTCCTCCAGAGTGTGAGCATCAGCCCTGGGCCACACGTCTGCCCTCCTCCTAAAAACCCAAAACACACACACACACACACACACACACACACACACACACACACACACACAGAAATCCAGCTTCCTGCTCCACGATTCTTCACACCAGCCTCAAAAAAAGGCAATTTGACGGATTCACAATTAGAGGCTTGTTGAATAGCCGACCTAAATTCCATCATACCGCTGCCACAGATACTGTAACTCTCAGGAAGCCCGAGATGGTTCAAAGCGCTTAGGAGGGTTTGCAAATGCTGTGTGTTTTTCTGCCTTTTGTCAGGCTTTCTCTTTTCGTAGGCGAGTGTTGCAGTCTTTTGGGGAGTAGAACAACCATTTCAGTGGCTCTGGTTCAAAAGTTAGCGTGCTGCCTAGAGTACACGGGGAGCTGTCTTCAAAGGCATCGCACTAATTGAAACAGAGCCTTCTTAAGGGCTGATCTGGAACTTTGTTGTTTATTTTTTCTAAGGGCTTAGTTCGTTTATTAATCAGGGGTCACCACAGCGGAATGAACTGTGTGAATTTTTTTGTTTTATGCAGCATATGTTTTATGCAGCGGATGCCCTTCCAGCTGCAACCCAACACGGGGAAACACCCATACACTCTCATTCACACTCTTACACTACGGCCAATTTAGCTTCCCCAATTCACCTATAGCGCATGTTTTTGGACTGTGACGGAAACCGGAGCACCCGGAGGAAACCCACGCTAACATGGAGAGAACATTCAAACTCCACTCAGAAATGCCAACTGACCCAGCCGGGGTCAATCTTCTTGCTGTGAGGCGATCGTGCTACCCACTATTAATTCTTAAAACAAGACTATATGTTTTGCTTGTCTAGAGAATGCTTCTTGATTTAATAATTTTAAAATATTTGAACTAGAAACAAGACAAAAAAAAAAGAAAATAATTGTATGAGGACACCCCTCACAAATTTCTCATTTGAATTATTTGTAATATATATATATATATATATATATATATATATATATATATATATATATATATTTATTTATTTTTTTTTTTCTCTATAGGAAGCTTTACAATATTTTATTTGTGCATATACATTAGATTGGTCAGTACTAAAGCCACATCTGGAGATTATCTAACAAAATAACTTATGATAATGGTCCAAAATTAGTACACCCAAATATATATGTTAGGGAAAAATATTAAATAAAAAATTAAAAAGAGCAAAATTCAAGAGAAACAAAGAATGTATGAAAAATGTGTTGAAATTTTGTAGTTTGTAATTTTTTCCCAATATTTTGCATGAATTTAAAAGTATTATCTTTCAATTTCTAAAGAAGTTCTGTGACTAAAATATAATTTTAATAAATATATCAGTTTAATAAATCTGTTTTGTTTAAATGCACCAAAATAAATGACCTATATTTACTGAGAAATGGATACAAATATTCAATTTCAAAATGGGGTGTACTTAATTATGTTGAGCAATGTATATTTATTATATTTTTAGAATCATTTATCTAATCTTTTTATCTTTTATCATGTCGCTCTGTTTATTTATTTATTCATTCATTCATTCATTCATTCATTCATTCATTTAATTCCATTTCATATGAATTTTGCTTGTTTAGTTTATTTTTCTAGTTTATATTATAATTTTATATTCTTTTATATTTATTTAGGTTGTCCCAGTGTTTTCTTAGAAAAGTACATAGTCAATTTTAATTAATTATAAATTCTGACAGATAAATTATTTATTTTATTTTATTTAATTAATTAATTAATTTAATTCCATTTTATATGAATTTTGCTTGTTTCGTTTTTTTTTTCTAGTTTATATCGTAATTTTGGTGACGCGGTGGCGCCCAAAGGCGTGCGATACAGGTGAATTGGGCAAGCTAAATTGTCCGTAGTGTATGTGTGATTGAGTTTGTATTGATGTTTCCCAGTGATGGGTTGTAGCTAGAAGGGCATCAGTTGGGTAAAACATACGCTGGATAAGTTGATGGTTCATTCCGCTGTGGCGACCCCATAATAATAAAGGGACTAAGCCAAAAAGAAAATGAATAAATGAATGTTATAATTTTATATTCTTTTATATATATTTAGCTTGTCGCAGTGTTTTCTTGGAAAAGTACCCCATAATTTTTTATTATTTATAAATTCTGACGGATAAATTATTTATTTATTTATTTATTTATTTATTTATTTATTTATTTATTCATTTATTCATTCATTTATTTTAAATTCCTATTTTAAATTAATTTAGCTTGTTTAGGTGTGTTTTTCTAGTTTATATTATATTTTTCTAATCTTTTATATTCATTTAGCTTGTCACATTGTTTTTCTCAGACTGCTTTCTACAATACTGCATCAGTACCCACCCACCTTTTAACTTGTTTGTTTTCCCCATTTATTTCTTTAAAAAAGTTTTATGAACCAAAATAACCAGTTACAAGGTGAATCACTCCATCACAAACATTGACATGAAGCCAAAAAACGATTTAAAATGATAAGAAATATAAAAAATACAGTGTACTTATTGATTTTAGTGAGGAGAAATCTAAAATGTCATTGTTCACAGCTCTGTTCTTGCACTCTGTGCTGCTTTAGAATACCAAAACAATCCATCTTAGAAGTCATTTAGTTATAAGATACCTCATATAATTCTATGCCTTCAAACGCTCCCTACACAAGCAGCACTATAACTGTAGATTTTGGCACAAAGCCAGAGTGTATTTTTAAGGAAGATTTTGCAAAGTCAATTCTACAAAAGCACTTTGTGGCTGATTAGCTCAATAAATTCCAGTGGCTCTGTGGTGCCACAACTTAAAGGTGAGGCTGTGTAATTAGCAGCCATAAGTCTTTAATTGATCTCAAATGGGCCTAAATTGGGGCCCGCGAAGGTAAATGAAGCTTGTAATGCTCTTCTTCAATGTGTGTCTGTTGGGTTATAAAGTGTGCCGTGTCGAGCGCTAACCTGCGGTGTTTTTTCAGGAGCAGTTTCTCCATGTAGCTCAAAGCGTCCTCGTTGAACTCCACATGAATTAGCTGCTGGGATCTTTTCTCTGTTTGCGTTTCCATCACAGACACTAAAGAGAGAATAAAACAACAAAACAGGTCAAAAAAGTGTGTTTAATAATAACCAGCAAGTAAACATAGCATCCTGAACAAACCATTGGTATTAAACACAGACGCATGAGACTAAACGAGAGAAATAAGCTGTCTGGAGCCGAATTCAAGCAGCACTATTGACATAATTCTGTCTTTGTTTCGAGAGTTCTTTTGCTGTATTGTGCGAATATAAAGGGCGGTTAGACTTCAGTGCATTGTAAACCCCCTTAACACAGCAGTCATTATCACAGTGAGCACAAGCCAAGCAGCACTGCAGAGGCCGACACTCCTGCTAGCCAAGTACAGAACGAAAAAAATGAGAGAGAGAAACAAATACGAGCAGTCATGAAAAGAAGCAACTTTAGTTTGCTGCAGTGTGATCTGACTATTGCATTCAATGGAGTGTTGGAGCTGCAGTACTGCTCAGATTTATAACTGAATAATAGATTTAAGATATGCTTGGGACAGAATGATACTCTGATATATAATTTAGTGACAACTATATTGATTGCGAATGGTATGCATGGAGTATTCTATGTTATGTTTATATGAGCATATAAGAGATAGTTCACTCAAAAATTTAAATTATGCGATCATTTATTCATCTTTCACTTGTTCAAAACTTATTTATCTTTGTAAAACACAAAAGAGATATCTTACTTTAAGTTCAACATAGCCCTGCAGGCACTCAACATCGTAAGACATTAATATTAGGTTATATTAGTCAGGTCATGATGTCAGATGACCAAAATTTAATGTCTAGTCAGCATCTGAGGACAATGTTTTTTTTCGATGTCCAATAACGATGTCAAATTACGTTGATATTTGGTTGATTTTAGGTTGTGTAGGAAAGCAACCAAAATCCAACGTCTGATAGATGTCATAGTGATAACGTCCACACAACCTCAAGGTGTAACATGATTAGACGTTGATATTTGTTTGATTTTAGGTTGATTTTAGGTTAGACATTGGACATTGACATTAGGTTCTGACGTCAACCCCTTTTTTCATTTCCAAACAAAATCCATTGTCCCCACAACGTTGGGGTACAACGTCAATATGTCATCATGCTAATGTCCTGTGCCTGCAGGGAGCAAAGAAACTCAGCTTTAAAAAAGACATAAAGGAAAATAAATGATGAGGTAATTTTTCTTTTGGGGTGAACTATCCCTTTAAACAACCACTTAAAATCACAGAAAAGTACTAAGTGTCAATCTGGCAACAACACAACTATTTCTTTTAATAGTTTTTGTGTGTGTTTGCGTGTGTCAGTATAAGTACATCCACATTTTTTTTCTTCTGTGAAATAAATAAATATTTAAGACTATAAGACATTTATTGTTTTATGTACAGCTGTATACTGCACAGGACGAACCCAGCTATTATGACCTCCTAAGTTACCTGACAAAATTCTTATCGCATGTCCAACTTTTAGGAACAACAAGTAATAACTCGACTTCTAGTTGATCATTTGGTATCAGAAGTGGCTCATATAAAGGGCAAAGGCCGCTAGATGACGCTTATTTTACCAAAATAAAATATGATCATGCCTTGATTTTTAATTATTTCATTAGGACAGTAGACCTGACTTTGTTTAGACAAAAGTTTTGTCACTTAACAGAAATAATGTACAGTATAGAATATAAAGTCATGCTGCAGTGGAAAAAAAATAAATATTGTGTCTGTCTCCCATGAGCTTGGAGGACTGCATCCATACATCTTTGCAATGACTCTAATACCTTATTAATAGTCACCTGGAATGGCAAAGAAAGCCTTCATCTTACCTCAGACATGCTTAATAATGTTCATGTCTGGTGACTGGGCTGGCCAATCCTGGAGCAGCTTGACATTCTTTGCTCTCAGGAAGTTTGATGTGAAGGCTGAAGTATGAGAAGGAGCGCTATCCTGCTGAAGAATTTGCCCTCTCCTGTGGTTTGTAATGTAATGGGCAGCACAAATGTCTTGATACCTCAGGCTGTTGATGTTGCCATCCACTCTGCAGATCTCTCGCACACCCCCATGCTGAATGTAACCCCAAACTATGATTTTTTCCATCACCAACCATCATTTTTTCCTTTCTTTTGTAAGAATTTTGGGTCCATGTGGGTCCCACTAGTTCTTCTGCAGTATTTGTGATGATTACGATGCAGTTCAACAGATGATTCATCTGAAAAATCCACCTTCTGTCACTTTTCCAAATGATCAACTAGAAGTCAAGTTATTATTTGTTGCTCTGACAACTGGGATCATCGACAAGACTTTTGTCAAGTTGTACAGATCTGATCAAATCTTTAAAATATCTAATTGCGTGTTCAACAGAAGAAAGAAACTAATACAGTTTTACAACGGCAGGAGGAAGAATAAAAAAAACTTTGAGGGAATTTTCATTTTGGGGTGAACTATCCCTTTAAACAATCACCTAAAATCGCAAAAATACTTGGTGCCAATCTGGCAACCACACAACTATTTCTTTTAATAGTTTTGTGTGTATGTGTGTATATATACAGTACATCTGAAATAAATAGATATTAATAACTATCATATAAAGCGGCACAGTGACACAATGGGTAGCGCTGTCGCCTCACAGCAAGAAGGTTGTTGGTTCGAGCCTCGGCTGAGTCAGTTGGCGTTTCTGTGTGGAGTTTGAATGTTCTCCCTGCGTTCGTGTGGGTTTCCTCCGGGTGCTCCGGTTTCCCCCACAGTCCAAAGACATGCAGTACAAGTGAATTGGGTCAGCTAAATAGGCCATAGTGTAGGTGTGAATGAGTGTGCATGGGTGTTTCCAAGTGATGGGTTGCAGCTGGAAGGACATCTGCTACGTAAAACATGCTGGATAGTTTGGCGGTTCAGTCCGCTGTGGTGACCCCAGATTAATAAAGAGACTAAGACGAAAAATGAATGAATGAATGAATGAATGAACTATCATATATTTTTCATTTAAATGATATTGATTGTTTTATGAACAGCTGTAATCTGCACAGGATGAACTCAGACAGTACTGAAAACATCACAGGCACAGAGATTCTCTAAAAAAAAAAAAATAAAAAAATAAAACAAATCAAGCGCATTGCAACATCACGTCTGCTATTATTTAGCGATAAATAGCTCCTGTGCATCCAGCTGCTCTTGACTAATATCTCGAACAGATTGAATCCCTGTGACCGTGCATCATCAGTCACGTTTCTGCCAACGCTTTCAGAAGTTGTCAAATCACAGAGGCATTTCTGCAAACCTGGAAACAAATGCGTGCAATGTTTGTCATGCATATATGTAGTTACCTGGCAACCAATCAGTGGCCCTGTCACACTCGCGGCGTGCGTTATTTCAGTCAATGCCACACACAAGCATGCTTTATGAGGGAGTGTTTGTGTGTGTTCTGACAGCCTGTCACAGGATATACGTTCAGCTCATATGAACCTGACAGCGTGTCACTTTATTACTATGGTTCGACTGTAGCATGAATGTGTGTGTGTGTGTGTGTGTGTGTGTGTGTGTGTGTGTGTGTGTGTGTGTGTGAGTGTGTGTTACCTGGTCTCTGGCCTCTTTCTCTCCACTCTTTCAGAGCTTCCTGGAAAGACCTGGCTGACTCCTCTTCATCAAAGCTTCCTCTGAGCAGAGAGCCGTCCTCTTCCTCCTCCTCATCCTCCTCCACGTCAACACCGTCATTCATGAACAACACCTCGGGCTAGACACGGAGAGAACACAACCGGAGTGACAGGGACGCTGAGAGAAGGAGACTAAATTAAACGGAGCAAGTTTTCACACTGTGCAGAAAGTTGAGAGAGGGTTCGTGTTGAAGCGTCTGCTGCATTCCCCCAGACACAAACTCTGGAGGAACTGTGTTAGCAAGGGATGGGCTGCTGGCTGGGTGATATCAATCAATGCGTTGAGACTAAATACAATGCTTGCTAGAAATGCTCGCATAGTAGGATAATAAGGTGGCAAATGTGTGCACCAAAACTATTTGCCATGATTCTCTCTGTGTGTAAGTCTGTATGAACCAGAATCTGCGATCATTATTTTCATATTGTGAAGCAGTTCATAGAAATGTGGAATACTAAATAAGTAAACGGTGGGCGTGGCTTGTTTTTTCTACTTCAATCTGATTGGTTGTAGGTAAAATAGGCATAGGTCAGGAAAAGGGTTTCAGGAGAGTTAGTAGAAACACTCTAAAAATATTGTTTAGACCAAAGAAAAAAAAATAGCACAACAGTTTGCATCAACATATTCAATTTACGACAACATCTCTCTGCTACCCTCAGGCAGACGGTTCTGCAGCATCCAGTCACGCACTAGCCGACTCAAGGAAAGCTTTTTCCCTCAGACCAGGGGTCACCAATCTCGGTCCTGGAGGGCCGGTGTCCCTGCAGGGTTTGTTCAGGTGTGTTTGATTAGGGTTGGAGCTAAATTCTGCAGGACACCGGCCCTCCAGGAATGAGTTTGGTGACCACTGCCTCAGACTATTAGGCTGATGTACACTTAACACACCCCACACAGACTCTTCCATACCCCTCCCTGCACACCATCAATATGTAGCACGCACTGCACTTTAACCAATCCATACTTGAAACAATACTGCCTACAACTATGTGGACATTTATTCATAGTACATATCGCTGTCGTTTTTTTCATTGTCCTGTTTTTTTTTTTTGAGGAGTATGCTGTTGTATTTTGCACTGTCATTGTATCTGCACTGTTTTTTATACTATCTGGAGCCAGCACCTAAGCTTTTCACTCATCATAGCACACGTGCTGCTGATGATGTGACAAAAAAATTATTTGATTTGATCTAACAAAGTGAAGTTCAGACAGCAAACTTTATTATCTTAGCCAAATGACTTTTCCCTCCTCAATCAGGCATCATTTTTGTGTACTTGACTAAAAAAAATGGAGTTTATGGTATATATGGTACCATAAAATCTATTTTTTTAAGTCAAGTACCAAAAAACAAATCCAGTGTTATGTACTTAATTACATGCAAAGTTTTCAAGTTTAAAACCTCAAATAAATTAAGCTGAAATTGTTTCATTTTTGGTTTGTTTTTAAATTTACTGTTCATTTGGTTGCTTGTAAGAAATACATTTAACAACATTTAATTTTTTATTTGTTTTAAACCACAGTTTTTCATTGTTTTTATTTGTGAAAAAAAACATCAGTGTGTGGACTTAAAAATACAAAACAACTCCATTAGTGTGGAGAAAAAGTTATCAACAATTTATTTGGGCTGCTACAAGTTAAACATTGTTTTAAACTAATTGACAGATATATTTACCTTTAAATTAGCCACATTTTTAAGTTGATGTAATTATCAATATTTTCCTGTTTTGAAAACTTATTAAAATTATTTCTGGCAACTTAAACGTTTTAATCTAATCAGCTTTTTAGATTTTTTTTTAAGTAACAACAATGTAATAAACTATATAGTGGTAACAGACCTCTTCAGTTAGAGTGTAAAGGCTGATTTATACTTCTGCATCGAGTGATCGGCATGACCCACAGTGCATGTCTTGCAGTTAATCGTGCATTTATACTTCGGCGTGCTGTTTGTGTTGCTGTACAATAAAACTTAACTGGCAGTAGGTTTTTATGCTCCTCTGTGTCGAGTTTCCTCACTGGTGTTTCAAGAGTTCACACTTAGCTGATGATTGATTAAAAAGCTAATTTGGCATGCTATCCTGGGAGAGAGCGCTGAGCTCATTAGATCCTCGTGCCCAGGGCTCCCTCCCGTTTGCAAGGCGAGAGGGGAGTTTGAGCTCAGGTAGATCTCGAGAACTCCCCTGCTGATTGCTCTTAAGAGATAACTATTTACTACAAGCATGTCTATGGTGCCGATTTGGATTAGTCAATTAACTTAAGTTGCATGTTTTTGGATGGTGGGAGGAAACCGGGGAACCCAGGGGAAACCCACATGAGCATGGGGAGAACGTTTAAGCTCTGTACAGAAACGTCAGCTGGCTTGTTAAGGATTACAACCAGTGACGTTCTTGCTGTGAGGCAACAGTGCTAACCACTGGGCCACCGTGCCACCCATCTAGGAAAGGAGGAGGAGTAGGGGTGGAAAGGGGGATTCTTCAAAACGCTGTCAAATGGACCTAAGGGTATTTTTAGTGGCTTAGGAATCGTCTGTTTGGTGAATCATAAATTTAATAATGTGGGGCCGGCTGCAAGCAATCATAAGCACATGATCCTCTAGAAATTAGTTTATAAATAACCTTCACTTATGTTCCTCTGTGTCGAGTTTCCTCACAGGTGTTTTGTTTTTTTTCTGAACACTGCAAGTAGCTAAAACTCGGTCATTCAGAATCGGGACATGCAACAACTTTATCATAAGGTAAACACAAAACACCTTCACAGAACTCAACACTTGTAAACACTCACTCCATCTGGCTCTCATCGCCGTCCATGCTCCAAACTCGACACAGAGGAACATAAGTTAAGGTTATTTATAAACTAATTTCTAGAGGATTTTATGCTTATGATTGCTTGCAGCCGGCCCCGCATTATTCAATTTATGATTTACTACGCTACACATAATTACGACGCATAGTTAAATTTTTGAGAGGCTTGCATCAGCGTCAGCTCCAGCCATGGCGAGGGCTATGTGACTAGTTGGAGGCTGCACTGGACCATACGTGTGCGCTTGACACAGAAGTATTAATCAGCCTTAACAGACATCTCGTCCTCGCTATATCATTTGTTGTCTGAGAGTTGGAGAACCGAAAGTTAGAGGGGCGTGGTTAAGTATGTTAACCACGGCCAGCAGCTAGGACAGACGTAGGCTGCGTCTGAAATCGCATACTTTCATACTATTTAGTATGGTAAAAACAGTATGCAAGCCCAGTATTACAGTTGAAGTCAGAATTATTAACCCCCCTGAATTATTAGCCCCCCTGTTTATTTATTTCCCCAATTTCTGTTCAACGATGAGAAGATTTTTTCAACATATTTCTTAACATAATAGTTTTAATAACTCATCTCTAATAACTGATTTATTTTCTCTTTGCCATGATGACAGTAAATAATATATTACTAGATTTTTTCAGGACACTTTAATACAGCTTAAAGTGACATTTAAAGGCTTAACTAGGTTAATTAGGTTAACTAGGCACGTAAGGGTAATTAGAAAAGTTATTGTATAACAATGGTTTGTTCTGTAGACTTACTATCAAGAAAAAAGGGGCTAATAATATTGTCCTTAAAATGGTGTTTAAAAAATTAACAACTGCTTTTATTTGAGCCAAAATAAAACAAAACAGACTTCTTCCAGAAGAAAAATTATTATTATACATACTGTGACAGTTTCCTTGCTCTATTAAACATCATTTATGAAATATTACAAAAAGGGGGGCTAATAACTCTGACTTCAACTGTGTGTCTGAATTTATAGAATTCGAAAAACAGTATGTGAGAAAAACTTCTCATACTTCAGCCTCCACATCCAAGTTCCTGCAAAGAAGGTCAAGGTGCTCCAATATTGGCCAGCCCAGTCACCAGATATGAACAATATTGAGCATGCCTGGAGTAGGATGAGGGAGGAGGTATTGAAGATGAATCCAAAGAATCTTGATGAACTCTGGGAGTCCTGCAAAAATGCTTTCCTTGCCAGCCCAGATGACTTTTTAATAAGTGATTTGAGTCATTGCAGAGATGTATGGATGCAGTCCTCCAAGCTCAATAGAGTCATACATAATATTCATTCTTTTTCCACTGCAGCATGACTTTATATTCCATACTGTACATTATTTCTGTCAAGTGGAAAAAGTCAGACCTTACTCTCCCAATAAAATATTAAAAATCAAGGCATGATCATATTTTAATTTGGTAAAATAAAGCATAATCAAGAGGCCTTAGCCTTTTATATAAGCCACTTCTGACACCAAATGATCAACTAGACGGCAAGTTATTATTTGTTGTTCCTAAAACTTAGATACGCCACAAAACTTTTGTCATGTAGTGTATATAATGTGCAAAATACTTTTAGATATTCTATTTTTGTTCTAATCACACAGCATAAGGCACCCTGTTGTTAAGAAATGCTATACTTAAAAATCAAAGTAGTAAAACTCTGTGAAGTACTGTCGACAAGCACATTTCAGAGAAAAGAAAAAAATCATATAATCTAAAATCATAAAAAGCTTTTTGTTCCGCCAAATAACTGCTGTATATGTTTTATTTATTTATTTATTTTTTTTTCATTTGGGGATATTCATTTGAAGCTGTGATAGTTCTGTTGAGATGTATTTGAGAAGAATCATTTATCAACGAAAGACATTGCTGCTGCTGACATTGATACAGGCTAAATATAGACAGTTTTTTTTAACATAAAAACAGCCTACTGCTTGATGCATCTATTTTTTAAAGACAAAAACTGACTTGAATGTGGATCTCATTAAAATGACTTCCACAAAAACCATTGTTCTATAATATGCATGCAAAATAGCAAAAAGACTAACATTTCTAACAGGATTTGTGCATAATTCTGTGTATTCCGACTTTGATGTGCCACCCAAACCAATCAGTGACTCACCTGTGTGCGGTAAATTTGGTTCTCAGCCATGGGTTGAAGGCTCCCAGTAGCTGATCTTTCCTCTGCGTCATCTGTTTCATCTGTGGATTTGGGAGATGCGCCTTGTGCCAGTTGATTTTCCACACCGTGTACCTGTTGCTGGAGGCGGCCCAGCACATCCCGAGTGCTGACAGGAGTCTGGAGCTCTGCCTGGAGGATAAAGCACAGATTTCAATCAAACCTTTAATTCAAAGTGCACAAATGCATCCCCGTTAATGACTAACGCAAGCACACTTTCTATAGGCGAAGCGTTCATCCAAATTGTTAAATGCATGTCTTGTGCTCAAAACAAGCTTTATGGACAACATCAGTTGCGCGCTGTTGCTTCCAGTGAACATTTCATCCATCAGTTCATAGAAACAAGCATAATGGCGTAACCAGACACTTACAATGGTGTTGTACTAGGGAAAATGTGCACTTAAAAGTAAAAAAGGATGTACAGTTGAAGTCAGAATTACTAGATCCCCTGTTTATTTTTTCCCTAATTTCTGTTTAACGAATAGAAGATTTTTACAACACATTTCTAAACATAATAGTTTTAGTAACTCATTTCTAATAACTGATTTATTTTATGTTTGCCATGATGACAGTAAATAATATTTGACTAGATATTTTTTAAGACAATTTCAAGACATTTAAAGGCTTAACTGGGTTAATTAGGTTAACTTGGCAGGTTAGGGTAATTATGCAAGTTATATATTGTATTTTATAATGATGGCTTGTTCTGTAGACAGTCGAAAAAAATAGCTTAGAGCTAATAATTTTGTCCTCAAAATGACCTTAAAAAATTAAAAACTTTTTTTCTGCTTTTATTCTAGCCAAAATAAAGCAAATAAGACTTTTTCCAGAAAAAAAATATTATCAGACATATTGTAAAAATTTCCTTGCTCTGTTAAACATCATTTGTGAAATATATAAAAAAAAGAAAACAATCAAAAGGGGGCTAATAATTCTGATCTCAATTGTATTTTGACTTTTTTAAATTAAGAAACTAAATAAAAAAAACTAATTAATAAAATTACAACAAATTCATAAAAAAACAATTACAGTTACAGAGTACAGACCACCACTGACAGTGCACGTTTCTTCACACATAATGCTGCAACTTGTCAAGCGCAGTCACGCGCTGTGCTGCAGCAGCAAAGCCCGCCTTTTTATTTAAAAAAAACAAACACTTTTGTGCTTCACTCAATATCCACCAGGTGAAGCAAGGAACAACCAATTTTCCATTATTGGGCCAGTGTGAGCAAACGCCCCAAAAAACAAATAACCCTCTCTGTGGTACGTCTCCGAAAGCATCGGTAGCTAACTGAGATCGCAAGTTCCATCATTATGCTGCGTTCACACCAGACGTGGAAAAAGCGTCAAGCACAAGTGATCTACATGTTAAGTCAACGCAAAGATGTGAATAGACATCCTGTGGCACGATACGTGTGAATGAGGTAGCGCGAATGATGCGATTCGTGTGAATGAAGTGGCGCAAGTTGCGCATTTTGCACGATTGACGCGCTAAATTTACGTTTCAAGTGAATTGCTCGAGTTGGATAATCTGAACTTCAGCGGACATTTTTGCTGCGTTAACCAATCAGGAGCTTTCTCTTGTAGGGGCATGATTATGACGTAGCGCCTGTTGTTGGTGTCCTGAAAGGAAAATCCTCCTCCCGACACCGACAAACGTGGTGGATCAGTTCAGCATGTGCGTGAACATACCCTGTGCGCGCGAGCACTAGTTTTCTCATAAAATGAGGTGACTAGAAAAGTTCATTTGATTTAACTAAAACATTTAAGGAAGGAAGATTTTTTTACAGTGTAATTGCTCTTTTTATTACTGATGCAAACCATATTAAATCTCTCTGTAAACATGTGTAAATGAATAATAGCCCTGAAGAAAAGCATGATCAAATCACTGGTAGCCGGTCGACTAATTCATCCTTATGACATCATGCGCTTAAGATAACATTGTTAATGGTCATTATGATGGTCGGGGCTGCTGAGTAACCTCTCTTGACTGTCTTGTGAATTCATTTGTATTATGCACTAGAGCAAACCTGAAATGTAATCAAATTAATTAGTTTAAGCAATAGGATACTATTACGAAAGCAATAGGATACTATCAAAATGAAGAGAAGTGCATTGCAATCTGGAAACAGATGTTTAAAGGGAAATGAAGCCTATGGGGAAACGCTTCTTTGTCAGAGGCTGACAAAGACAAAGCAAGATTGTGAAGAATAAACCGGAGGATAAAAATAATATTTGTTCCCTTTTTCCCCCTCGGAAGCAAATTAAACGGGATTAGGATGCTGCATCAGAGCCGAGCGAAGTTAAATATGATCCTCGGTTTCTTGCCAAGCCTGGCAACCATTTTAAGCAGAGTGTAAATTTGTGACTGCTTTCTATTTCGCTCGGTGCACCTTCTCTGTAGTATTTTAGGGCATCATAATCAAGCTACAGCAAGAGTGATCCAAACAACCAGTCCAAGAATGCACTGTGATGCAATCAGTGAAAAGTCAAACGCAATATGGTGGATGAATAGTTTATAAATCACTGATAAGTTGTTTATGACTCTGTTGAATCAGAATGAATCAGAATCCCCCCCCCCACCCCTGTATAATTATCCCCAATTTCTATTTAACAGAAAGATTTGTTTCATTGCATTACTAAACGAAAAAGTGTTAATAATTACTTTGTAATAGTTTATTTTATCTTTGCCATTATGACAGCACATAATATTTTACTGGTTATTTTTCTAGATACTAGTATTCAGCTTAAAGTGACATTTAAATGCTTAACTAGATTAATTAGGTAAGGCAAACAAGGTTAATAAGGCAAACCATTGTATAACGATGGTTTGTTCTGTAGACAATTGACAAAAAAAATGCTTAAGAAGGCTAATAATTTTGACCTTAAAATGGCAAAAAAATTAAATACATTTAAAAAAGTTTTCATTCTAGCCACAATAAAACAAATAAGACTTTTTTCCAGAGGAAAAAATATATAATCAGAAATACTGTGTAAAATTCTTGCTCTTGCTCATAATTTGGGAAATATTTAAAAAAGAAAAAAAAATCACTTAATAATAATTTTGATTTTTACTGGATAATTACACAAAAATTTCTCAGGCAATTAAAACCTGTAAGTTGTGTTGGAAAAAAAATGCAAATAGAAGTTTTAAATTTAAACAGCTTGCTTAATTAAAGTGAATGAAAGGAAGGTGTGTTGTTTCTGCAGTACCACATTTTGGTCAATAGGTAGAGTAATATCTGCAATGTGGAGATTTTTTACCTTTTTGTGTATTAATATTGAGCCTGTGACAACATTTAAATCATTATTGTGACGTACTCTCTTGTAATATGTATAAAGTATGTATAACTCCCATGTTGTGTATAACGTTAGCGTTATAGTATTGTTATAAAATTGCCATGTTACGCTTGTCCTTTTTACAATATAGTTAGAAAAATGTATAGTTTTTTCTTGCATTCCTGTGAAAGTTTATACTTGGTAAACTTTGCTATATATTAAAAACGCCAAATAAAGTTGCAAACATTAGCATAAGTTAGCTACATAAAGGTAATGTTGTTTAGTTCAATCAACATAACATGCATAATTTAGCTTTAATCTTATTTAGTTCAATTTAGATATCGAACTTAACTAAACTAAATAGATTAAAGCTAAATTAATAATGTTGTGCTGATTGAACTAAACAACATTACATTACCTTCATGAAACTAACTTAAGTTCACTAAAATAAATATTCTTTCCTTAAGGTAACTTAACTTAGTTAAGTGATAAAAAAGTTATTAAAGCCAACATATCCTTTATTTGAGTGTACCATCAGATTATTTTACCGTATCACTTTAGACTCATGTTAATATAAAAACAGTGCAAGCAGATTTTCCCTGAGAGATCAGAAAAAGCCCATCCATACACTTTCCCTAGATTAAATAAATCTGGAAAAGTGGCCAAAAGATGACAAAAGAGGCCGATTAAAAAATCAGCTGTAAATAGGAACGACTCTACCTTATCGGTTTGCCATTTGATCGACCAAGACACATCTCAATACCAGGTGTAATCAGAGCTTTAACTACTGTAACAGCTAACTGAAATCTATTGAATCAATTATAAGGTAAGTCTCTTGTGTTTTGTGCTTAATGAATATCTTTGTAAGATAATGCAAATTAGTTAACCGTTTACATTAATTTAACACTAAAAACAACTTAACAGTAACATTCCATGAACATAAAAAATTGACTTGGCAAAATTAAGTTGAAGTACTAAAACGCAGTTTATTTGACTGTGTGGTTTGAGTAAGAATACATTAAAGTTATAGCAAAGACTACAGAATACACAAGACGTGTCACTTGTATAGTTTTGAATGCGGGAAAAGTGTAATGGTCAATTTGGCGAATGAAGCCCAGCCTACTAATACAGGAGCCAATCATCGATATAGACTGACATTTCTCCGGAGGAGAAACTCAGACCAAATGTGTGCTTTTACGACAGTTTGGTGGTCAACAAATGAATACTTGCTTCACGGACATACAAAATATATGCAAATAAAGCTTGAAATCTGCACTTTTAAGTTAACCAAGTGCACTTTAAAGTAAAAGTTTTTTGGTTTTGTAATCTGTATGATACGAACACAATCTACAATCCGTCCTGTCAAATGCACATTACATGACAGCAACTACTCAAACGCCCACAAACTTGTAAACAAACACTTGCTGTTATTTATAGAGGAGATTTGCTATAATGAGCAAGTTGTGGATTACTTTTGAAGAGCAGTGCGATCAGACGATCATTATTTAGAGGACGATAATATGTAGAACGACCATTAATGAGGTTGGTGTCATGATCTCATTCCTTTCGGGTGCGCGTGCACATTCAGAAAATATGCTGAAATATGTTATGTAATCATAATCTTTGCAAACCGTTTTGAAGAATTTGATGTTTCCCCATTCAGACAGAATGCATGAGCATACTGCCCGGGAGGCATTTCAAAGAAGGCCGGCAAGTGAAATGACTTGCCTTAAAGGGACATTTTTTTATATCCTTTAAAATATATAAATTTAATTATATGATCTAAAGCTGTTACCATCATGCTAATATCCTAATTTGTTGCCCCAAACTGTATACATTTTTATCAATGTTGA